AGCAGCAGGGAGGAGGCACTGCTGAGGTTGTGGCACTTAGCTCTTTGGACAATTTGTTAAAAATAAATTTCGACTGAAGACAGCCCAGTGGTGGTCTCTTCACATCTCTAGGGGGGACAATTTGGGGGTGATTCCGAGGTTGCAATGGTGCATTCTATAGGGGGTGTCGATGCCAAAGCGGAGCGCCGTGGTGCAAGAGAACGAGACATTCAGAGTGGTTTCAGAGGCTAGGCGGTAGATGATGTCGCAATAGTCATAGATGGCGGCTTTGACTATTTCAAGACGGAACTGAGGTGAGATGCTGTGTCTTTCTGTAGAGTAATCCAATTAGTTGTTTTCTTGTGGCCATATGATTGATGTCGGCCTTGAAGGACAGTTTTAATCCGAGAAAACGCCTATATGCTTCAAACTTGATTGGAAGCTTTCGTGACTGCAGTAATTACTCTTTGGTTATTTCGGTAAAGTCACGTAGAAAGAAAATAAATTAAATAATAGAATACGACGTTTCGATTGCAACACAAGCAATCATCAGGTAGAACTACATTTGAGAGAGAGACAAAACACAGACACACAGACAGACACGCAAGCAGAGAGAGACACACAACATAGACACAGAGACCCAATGCCTCTGTGTCGTGGCCTTTAATAGAGAGAGAGGGGGGGGGGCAGAGAGAGAGGTGGGTCTGCAGGAGCAGAGACAGCATGTCAATGAGAGATCTGTGTGGAAATCCACCCCGCGGTGGCAGGGGGAGAAAAAGACCCAGCAAGACTGGTATATTTTCCACACAACTCTCTCTAAATGTTACCAGACTTGCTGGGTCTTTCTCTCCCGCTGCCGCCGCGGAGTGGATTTCCACACAGCTCTCTCATTGACATGCTAATTTATCTGCTCCAGCAGACCCACCTCTCTCTCTGCCTCCCCCCCTCTCTATTTAAGGCCACGACACAGAGGCATTGGGACTACGTGTGTCTCTTTCTGTGTCTATGTGTTGTCTCTCTCTGCTTGTGTGTCTGTCTGTGTCTCCGTGTCTGTGTTTTGTCTCTCTCTCAATATTAGTTCTACCTGATGACGATTGCTTGTGTTGCAATCGAAAGATCGTATTCTATTATTTAATTTATTTTCTTTCTACATGACTTTACTGAAAGAACCAAAGAGTATATGCTTCAAGTTAACGACCTGTTAAATGAGATGTGAGTCTAGGGACACAATGCGTAGTGAGGGCAAACTAGATTTGGCAGAAACTACTAAAAACTAAACAATTCTTTTTATTTTACCAGGTAAGGCTCACTGAGCTATATGGCTCTTTGTCAGAAGCAACTTGGCCACAAATAAAAGCTCAACGAAGTGGCTTATCACGTGCAAATGTCTAGCAGCCAAATACTCTAAACGCATGTTTCTAAATGTGAAGGGAAAAACCGGAGGACCCGGAGAAAAATCCACACGACCACGGGATAGACATGCAAACTCAACATATACAGGCGTCAAGAGTCGGGATTGAACGCACGACCTCCTACCCACCAGGCAAGTGAGTTAGCCAGAGAACAAGATGACAGGGAACAAGCAGGAGAACAACATGACTTTGGTCTTTTTAACAGTGAGGACTAAATTGAATGCATTTAGCTGGTGTTGCAGATCATCACAGGCCTGTTGTAGCTGTAGTTGTAAATCATTAATTCATTCACTTTCCAGAGATAATCAGAGCTGTGTCATTAGCAGTGAGATGAATGCCAGAGTGCACCTTGGAGATACGATGATTATTCACGTACAGGGAGAACAGTATGGAGGCTTGCGGAACACCCTTAGTAATGGGGGTCTTTTCAGAAAACATCATGAAGCCCAGTTGGAACCGGTTAAACAAGTAGCTGTGAACCCAGTTGATTGTACACTTTGAAATGTTTAGGCATTTTAGTCTTTGTAACATAACATCGTCCACAGTAGCAAGTAGTTTGAACAAGTCGAGGAACAAGATATCACAATGGCGACGAGATACAAGACTGGTGAAGATCAAGTCAAAGGTATCAGCTACTGCAGAGGCTGTGCTGTATTGTTATCTAAAATCAGATTGTTTGGGATGAAGAGGTTATCGTCTGTATATATCTGTCATAACTGCAGGTGACGTGACCTGGTACACTGGCCTACTGCTAAGATTCTAACACAGTTCACAAGTGGGCATCAATGCGCTTCTTCTCGACGGTTGCCGTGTCTCTGCATGCATGAACAACAAGATCAGTTCATTGTGAATGGAAAAACATGTTTTGCTACAGGACTCAGTGCTCACCCAAAACTATTTTCCACACATTAATGATTTGCCTGCCATGAAGTCCCATCGATTTGTGTACACAGATAACATCAATGACTGGTCCACACAAATACCCCAGCTTTTATCTCCTGCTCTGTCAGTGGGTTCAGTTCACAAACTTTTGCTGTGGCCCAGGGCCCAAGCCCCGTGCTTGATCCTCTTGGAACTGGCAGGGTACACATACAATTTTACTGGTAGGAACCTCCTGGTTACACCAGCCCATAGGGGATTATTGTGTCCGTCCGTCGTGCAGGGAGGGGCTGAGTGGGGAGGGGCTGGGTGGGGAGGGGAGGGTGGGGAGGGGAAGGTGGGGAGGGGCTGGATGGGGAGGGTGGGGAGGGGCTGGGTGGGGCTGGGTGGGGGGTGGGAGGGGTGGGGCTGGGTGGGGAGGGGCTGGTCACCCCGTGGTGCCCTTATAAAACTCAACGTTTAACCTACTCACGCCGGCTTGTGCCCGCCCTCACAGTCGGGCATATTTGCGGAATACACCACGCCGTCGTTGACCCTGGCCATTGACCGAGCAACCCAACGTTCCTACCAGCTCCCTCCGCAGGAATGTGTTACTGGCAGAATTAATGCTGTCCAAATGTAACTCAACATTAATTGTAGCGTTGTCGCCATGCATTTCTTTAAATGCAATGATGTGTGTCGTGGAGAATTTATGTAACAACATAAATCAGATGTGAAAAAAACATTGTATACGTAGGGACAGATAAGAGAGGGAGACATGATCATAAATAGGACCGGGAGTAGTTTGTGTTCATACATTTTGGTAGCCTCCAGGTTTGGCAGCAGCCCTAATGTTCATGAATAGCTTTGTTTATTTTATCCCTGAAGCAATTAGATGTCATGCCTTAAATGCTTTAGTAATCAGCTAGTTCCTTAAAATTATCTTTATTTCTTCCAAGTATGTCAGTATCAGAGAAGAAATGTTGGAATTCATTCTTAACGGAGCATATATAGAGAAAGTTGCCTCTAAAATTAAATATTCAGTCCCATTGTTGAAATGTGCATGTATTGGCAGTCTTCTAATTCATGGTACAGTATACAGTACTGTACAAATATTTTAAGCTAACGGGGGCACATCATTTGAGGGGGGTCTCTAGGCTGATTTATGAGTTGGCTCTTGTGCTCAGTTATGACCGGTATCATCCAATTTTAAGAAATTAAGCCTGATTCCACTGATAAGCATGAACATCAATGTCTGTCAAAATCAGAATCCGCCATGATCCATGTGACATGACGGCCTTTCTATGCAATCTCATGGATTTGTGAGGGAAAATTTTATTTTGCATCCACATAAGAGTTGATGTCATTGCACCAAATTTCTCTGACTCTAAATTCGAGCTGTAATCTGGAGTCAACAATGGTCACCTATGGATAGACTCACACCCACCATATGAATGTGAAGTTCAACCATCAGCTTCGGGCTGTAAACAGAGGAGCACCTCCTTTCAATGCTCATTTGAGTAAGAGTGAAAAAAGGTGGAGAGATATTAGGGGGAAACGTTGAGAGAGAGATTGGTGGCACAAGATAGCGATATTGTACTGTTTGATTTGATGGGGAGCCAGTTCAAGGTTCCGAGCGAAGCCATGGAGCCATATGGCTGCACCGAATGCCCAGGGCAGCACGTGACAGATTGGTTTTGAAGCCACTGATGTCCAAGTAAGGATGATGCTGCAACAATCAACGCGAGTGCTGACCACGTGGAAGGCTCGAGTGTTTGTGGTGGCTGTAGTAAACATAGGGTGTCTTTATTGCGTTGACGTGGTTGTCGAGTGAGTGGAGTCCGAGGTGATAATGAGGATTTTCAAGAGATTTGAGAGACTGATGGTGGGGCCATTGATGAGTTGAATTTGAGGGAGCGACACTGTCGTGAGCCGTGGCTAGATTTTGTCTTATTGCACTGTTTATATTCATATTTTTACATGACAAAGTGTCTTAGAGATGTTTGTAGTATTTAGATGCTTTATACATTTTATTATCTTCAATATTTCCTATAATGTGGTGCTGGCTGCATTGCCACCCATGCCAACCTTAACAAGTGGTTGCTATCAAAATTTGCCCCAACAGTTTTTACTTGCATGACGCACATCTACGTGTGTGACTCATGTAGTCGCAGGTCAATCTGAACTTTAAGTCTGAATGTCTTATACAAAAGTAAAGCAAAATAAATTAAGGCAATATATTAATTAAAGAGACAATCAAATCAGTGTTTAATTTGAAAACGTAATTCACAATTTTAGCGCAGATGTGGAACAAAGACTCATTGACGTGACATAATCGACAATCACAGTGACCTCTAGCTGGGTGGCTGGCAGAAAGGTTAAATGGTGCAGCGTTAATGAAGGCCACACTTATCTATGCAAATAAATGCATCAATCAGGCTGAACAATGCGAACTTAACTGCAATCGTTAGTAAATTTATTTTATATTTTAATTCCTTCCATCCCCCAAAGAGTTGATGAGAAAAATCCTTGCATACAACACAAAGGGATTGCGTCTATCACCAAGGCATAAAGGTCATGGTTGTGAAGCCCATAGCTTTCCTGATACAAGCACGGCCATGTCAAGTGAAGAACCGTATGGGCGTTTCAAGTAAAGCGCCTTGCAGAGCGGTTGTCAACTTGCATTATTTAATTATTTGCAAAATGTCACTAAAAAATAAAGCCTTTACGTTTGATAGTGTTGGTCGGGCGAGTTAGGTGTATAAATACAGGTACTCAGAGATCACAGCCATAGGTAGCTTGAAAGAGACTCCACACTCCGGCCACCCCAGTTGTACTCTTACATTATTAGTTTTTATTTTTGAAATAAAACCCCTGAAATTAAATATCGGTTTTTTTGGGTCAGCCTCAAATATCTAGCATTTAACAATTGTAAGAATTTGAGAATAAGAGATTAGGTGGTTGTTATTATTAGGTTAAAACTGTTGAGACACAAACATGAAGCTACTTGCCATCCTGGCTGCGGCGTGCATTGTGGTGTTGGCTGGACTGGACGGTGGCGCCGAGGGCGGTCGCCTTGGGGTGAAGCTGTGCGGGCGCGAGTTCATCCGCGCCGTGATCTTCACCTGCGGGGGCTCCAGATGGAGGAGAGGTTTGGTCCATGCACAACCTCATCGGCAATAGCACCGCAATGTCATTCGTATTGTCATCATCTTCTTCATTAGTTGGCTTCTGTCAGAGACGACGGGGCCGATTGAGATATTTCCACCTCTTTTGCATGCACCAGTTTCACGGCTTTCTTGTTCCCGTTTTTGTTTGAGATCATTTTTCACTTTGTCGATCTAGTGCATCTGTAGCTCTTCCTCTCGATCTTGTTCTGTGTGCTTCTGTTGCAATGCCATGTCTGGTATTCTCTCTGGATCCAATCTAGACACACGTCCAAACCACCGGAGCCATCTCTTGGGCCTTCTCCAACAGTGTCGCTACCTTTTGCCCCTCTAATTGTTCTCTCTTTTTGCTCATTTTTTTGTCATCATCGACAACTCCATGAGTAGAGTGCGAGTGATGATTCGCCACCCTCGCAATTCACCAATCGTCACAATTCTCAGTTGCGTTTTGATTGGCGAATCTATTGTTTTTGCATTGTGGTGCAAGTAGTGGCTGCGTCATGTGACGCAAGTAAAACACATTGTACAATCGAAACGTGTTGCTGCAAACGCAATTAAATACGTCCATTGTGAAGTTGACTATACGTGTTGTTACACCCATAATAGCGGGGTCAATGTTGGCAAGAATTTCTTGAAAAATCGTGAGACTCATTGAGACTTAGCTGGGTAAACAAGCATAATAATATTGAAAATATTATTATAATATTGAAAATATTATTATATATTATATTATTTACTGTAACATTGATACCATCACCAATTACACTATTACCATCAACATCTGCAGCACTTATGAATACGTTCAAAATCGTCAGCAATGCCATTAACATTGCCATACAGCTACACCGACAAAATGCTAACATCATCAGCAGCAAAATCTCCATTAATTCAATTCAAAGGGGTAAAAGACAATGTCTATGCGGTAAAATCAACTAGTGGCCCCTTGGTGTTGTTTGTATTCATTGCAGTGGTTACTGTCATTAATTCATAGAGCATACAAATGGACAGAGCAGTGGCACGTGTGGTTAGTGAACTGCAATACATTCCCAGCGACCTGAGCTTGATTCCCAGCCATTGCTAATATCAGTGGCAAGTGACAGCTGAACCAGTCTTGGGTCCTTTCTTTCAACCTGCACTGACCAGCGTGAAGTATAGTCAAATCTCCCAAGACCCACTAAGCATGGGGATGCCTTCCAGCAGTTTAATGACAAAGGGCTGTGAAATAACAGAAATTATATAACGACTAAATCCGATCACATCTGGAGATGCTCTACAGGGGTGGCTGGTAGCGGGGGTGGGGGCACAAGTGGTCGGTAATGGCCAGAGGTCGGCAACCTCTGACTCCAGAGCTGCATGCGGCTTTTTAAGGACCCCTTCGTGACCGTTATTTATATAGGACCACCATCTCATAATCACGTGCATTGTGGCTCTTGAAATATTGAGGGTTTTTTTACCGATTGTTATTTTGGTTGCCGACATCTGGTTATGGTGATTTAATGGGTTTGGGTTGGGAAGGAGTAGTGGAGGGTGTGAAACACAGGTGAGGACTACAGAGGGCAGAGGAAGCCACTGGAGCTATATGCACTTTTAAATGTAGATTGAAAACGAATTTCTTTAGAACTGCTTCATGTGTTTAGTTTGTTGTCCTTCCCTGCACCTCTGATTAACGCGGTTGGCTACGTACGGTGCGAAAGAAGTTCAACACACATACATCGGAAACAATGTACAGTATGAGGGCATTCATAGTTAATTGGGAGATGACCATAAAACGCATGCTGAGGTTGAGGCGCAATGTGAGAAGAGACGTAGATGTGAAACTGAGATTGAATAGCCTAGAACTCTGCAGGGTAATTAGGAAATTGATAAAACAAATCAGAGAACACAACACAAACATGACACAAGATGTCATGTTTGATATACCCAATTCATTATTTTATCATAATAGGAGGTAAAAACTTACTTCAAGAACTACATACCTATTGGCCTATTATTGTGTATATATATACAGTAAATTGCTCATGAAGGTCATCTGGAACAGAATAACAATAAAATTCGAGGCCATTCATCCCCAATTGCAGTCATGGATAAGGTAAGGTTTCTAAGCTTTCGGCTACATTCTACAAATCACATTATGGTAAAGTTTGAATTACCATTGTGCCTGCCTGGCCTTGTAGACTATGAAAAAGCATTCTACTTTGATGCAATAATAATTTATATTTGTAAGGCGGATATCATCCGTAGCTCCCTATGTGCCAGTGCAGTCTTCAACGCAGTCACAAACCCAGGTCTATAAAAAGTTTTTAAGTAATATAAACAATTTACAAAACCAGAAGAGCAGCACGAAGATTACATGGAAAAAGTACCAAAAGACGCACAAGCAATGATACGCTTTCACCAAATGTATTCCCAGTGACAGAAGCTTTTCATGGGAATGAAAAATAACACTGACCGTTTCCGATTTTCTGACGAAATGGTCGTTATTATGTCCAATGGAAATTAACCGCAGGAGATCCTTAAATAATCAAATAAACAACGGTTAAAGTAGGGTGCAGGATAAATACAGATTGAGCAAAACAAAGGTCATGTACAATCTATGATGGACAAAATTGGAAAATACAAAAATATTACGTGCACCAAGGACAGCGATTGAAGGCAGACCAACATTTTAAAGATACAATAAAAAGGCGGACAAGGAGCAGGTTGGAAAAGCTTAATTTTATAATGACAAGCAACATAGCAGTTTTTCAGTTTTCAGTTTCATTTATTTGGAATAATCCTGTACGCCATTCGGCTCTTGATTCGGGTGCAACCGCAACAAACAATAAAATCACACGATACTTTTCGATTTAAAGCTTTCGTGACTGCAGGGATTCATCTTCTTGGTTCTTTCGGTAAAGTCACGTAGAAGGGAAATAATAAAATATATTTATTTTATTTTATTATTTCCCGTCACGTAGAAGGGAAATAATAAAATATATTTATTTTATTTTATTATTTCCCGTCACGTAGAAGGGAAATAATAAAATATATATTTATTATTTTATTATTTCCCTTCTACGTGACTTTACCGAAAGAACCAAGAAGATTACACGATACATTTAAAATTTTCTGTACGCAAATTGAAACATCCCCTACAAAAACAATAAAATCTTCCAGAAAAAGCACCATTTGTTTATGCTGCGTACAAAAATGTGCAAAAAAAATCCCATTTTGATGTTAGATAATAACAATCATAATACAATATAGATTACAATTTTAAGTATAACTCTATACTATCTTCTTGGTTCTTTCGGTAAAGTCACGTAGAAGGGAAGTAATAAAATAATAAAAATAAAACATAATAAAACAATTCTCACGACGTTTCGGCCACAACGCAAGCAGCCGTCCTCAGGTGAAAACCAGGTCCGTCGAGGCATCAAAGGGAGCTGCAGTTACTGCTGCTGCAGCAGTTGCTGCTGCTGCAGTTTCTGCTGCTGCTGCTGCAGTTGCTGCTGCTGCTGCACTTGCTGCTGCTGCTGCACTTGCTGCTGCTGCTGCAGTTGCTGCCTTTCAGACCGTGTTCCACTCACTGGCATGGTGCAGTGTGCAGAGTAATGTATGGTGTCGTAATTATACAGTAAACATATAGCAGTATGATACACATTAGGGTGGGTAGAATAATACATAGTGTTATATTAAAATGGATAAGGCAGCAAGTGCAGCAGCAGCAGCAAGTGCAGCAGCAGCAGCAAGTGCAGCAGCAGCAGCAACTGCAGCAGCAGCAGCAGAAACTGCAGCAGCAGCAACTGCTGCAGCAGCAGTAACTGCAGCTCCCTTTGATGCTGTTAATCCTGCATAATGCACATGCATATGCAGTACTAATCACATTCCTGCATTTCCCATAAATATGCTAAATTCCTTTTGATATGCAAATTCCTTTGTCAATGCGCCCAGCTTATATATATGCTCCAAGCTCGTGTGCTGTTTCATTCAGACTCTGTCGCCTCGACGGACCTGGTTTTCACCTGAGGACGGCTGCTTGCGTTGTGGCCGAAACGTCGTGAGAATTGTTTTATTATGTTTTATTTTTATTATTTTATTACTTCCCTTCTACGTGACTTTACCGAAAGAACCAAGAAGATGAATCCCTGCAGTCACGAAAGCTTTAAATCGAAACTCTATACTACATTAAAAAAATCGGCTAAACTAACCCTTTCTAGAAATTACTAAAATAATGCTATAAAAACAATGTAACAGTGATCATAAGAAATGTGATTGAAAGTTTACAATAGCGACATGCATAACATATATTACTAAACCTATCATCTTCAGGATTTGAAGTTTTCGTGACTGCAAGGATCCATACTCTTTGGTTCTATCGGTAAAGTGCAAAGAGAGGAACGTTCCCGATCGGTGCGCACTGCACTGCGATGACGTGATTCATAACCTGGGCTTCAGCCAGCAGTGAGTAAACCCGGGTTCTCTGGCATAGTGACTTGATGGTCTGAACTTAGCTATCAATTACTTAAAAAAACAATCACAATATATTAGTTTTCCACTTGATTTGCATGAATACCAGTTATAATAAATGAAAATATCGATTTCATTGGCACGCAACAATCTCATAGGAGATGGGGTGGGATAATGCACTCCCTCCTATGTGAAGGCAACACAGGGTGCAATAGAAAATATCCCTTGCGTGTGCGTACATCTCTGCATGTTGTTGTGAGATGTTCAGCGGATGTTGCCGGTAGCTTAATGAAATAAATTGAAGGTAAAACATATATATAAAACGATATATTTTTATATCATGGGACCTCCTTTGCCAGTACCAAAATATGATAATAGGATTTTCCCCTTTTTTCTGGACATGTTTTGTTGCCAGAAAAAAGGGGAAAAACCTATTATCATATGATGGTTCTGGGAAAGGAGTCCCATGATGTAAATGTTCACCCAGAGCTCTCATTACTCTGATAGTGCATTGTCTTTGGGCTGTACGCCTTTTGGCGTCCTCTGGTCTAACACCGTTTGAGACGAGGCTCAAAAAAAAACTGTCTCTGGTGTGGACTAGAGGCCGACCGAAACGGAATTTCTGGTTTCGGCCAAAACCGGCCAAAACCGGCCAAAACCGAAACCAGACCGAAAGATAAAATTAGACTTTCAGCCAAAACCGAAAGTTTAACTTCACTTTCAGCCGAAACCGAAAGTTTAACTACACTTTCGACCAATACTGAAACAGAAAGGCATATAACCGAAGTTACCGAACACAAGATTTATGAAATACTAGCTTTACTACCCGGCTTCGCCCGGGACTTGGATTCACCACGGTCTCCCCAGTGGCGATGTTGACATACCACACCACTTACTCGTTTGAGGCTGAATCGACCTAGGGGAGGCCCAGGACCGGTTCAAATAATCGTCACCGGCCGTGAGCGGGAATCAAACTCGGGCCGCCGGGTTCGTAGCCTTACCATATTAATAAAAAGTGTGCCTTTCCGGGCCCTTCCCCCCTCAACCATTATATATACGGAGTGGTAGCTCTTGTAATCTCTCATTTACTTGATACAGCTGTCGTGGCTGTGACGGTTCCACCTGAAGACGGAAGCTTGTGTTGCCTCCGAAACGTCGTGATTTTTTATTTTCATTTTATTTTACTTTTATTAATTTTAATTTTAATTTTTTACCTACGTGACTTTACCGAAAAAACCTAAGAATATGAATCCTTGCAGTCACGAAAGCTTCAAATCTAAAACCAATTAATATATATTTTTAATGCAATGTGCGGCATTTCAAGAAAGCACAGCACAATAAAAATTCCCTGAAGCATTCTGACAAAAAAACCCGAAGATAAACGACGCTTCTCTGAATGTAAACGAGATTAATTCATTCTGTGATTCTTGTTATTACAACATTTTATTTTTTTACAAAAATGCCGAGATCAATGTTTTCCTTAAGCCAAGACTTATTCCCTGTGATTTCAGTCGGAAGTGGTGGTCTGCACACAGCACACCAAGGTGAGTCTTCTCCACGGCATGTTCAAGGGGCTCTCAGAGGCCGCATACCAGAGACCACGTGTCCACTGCTCCTGTGTGAGCAGGGCTGCTCCTAATCTCTGCGAGGGTGCTGACAACACAGCATAGCAACACATGACACATTCCTATGACATAGTGGTTAGCACACTGCGCCATGGGGCTGGCGAGCTGGGTTCTATCCCTTGGAACCCAGCTCGTGTGACATCCCACACTGACTCGTGTGATGAAGTATGGCCAAAAATATACACGATCGACACAGCATGGGGAGGCTTTCATCCAGCAGTAGATGCATAAAAGGCTGTGTAGTTATTCTGAGACATTTGGACTTGTACACTGTACGTATGTGTGTGCGCACAAGTGTCGTGGTAGTGAAGTGGTTAGCGCACTGCGCTACGAACCCGATGATCCCAGTTTGATTCCCGCTCACGGCCAACACCAGTGGCAACTATCTGAACCGGTCCTGAGCCTGCCCCTAGGTTGACTCGGCCTCCTATAAGTATCCAGGGTGATGCATCACATCAGCACTGGGGAGACAAAGGTGGCCAGGTGTGGTGCTGGTGACCCACCTCCCATGTGCCGTTCAGGCCTGAATATGCGCTTGCTAAACAACACTTGCCCCAACAGTCTGCTGAGACAACACGGGGGGTATGTCATTGTTTTTTTGCAGACACCTCCACTCGGGGCGACACCTCGGACGAGTTTGATCCCCGGTCCCTGTGGGGCGAGTCCAGCTCCCTGCAAGCGGAGGGCCTCGAGGCGGCCGCCTCTCCCTCCGGGGACCCCGAGCCTGGGGCTCCCTGGCGTCACCTTCCTGGGCCCCGGGGCCTGCAGCGCGGAGACAGGGCCACCAAAGCAGGCCTCGCGTCTGTCTGCTGCCACTGGGGCTGTTCCAAGTCGGACATCAGCACCTTATGTTGAGAGCTGACGTGGTTACCAAGCGCCCCGTTCCCTGTCTCTTAAGGGTTACGTCCTGTGATTAGAGGCAGGGTTCTATCTTGTGGGACGAGGGGATGAGAGGGTGGTTGGCTCGAGTGACGGGGGGGGGGTGTCAGCTGTCAGCGGCTGGCGCTTAGGCGGTACCCGGAGAGCCACGCTGTGTCGCGCTCCCCGCTTTTTCTGTAGCAACATGCCACTGTGTAAACTACTGAAGTGAGAGAAAACACGTGAATCGGGAAATGAGTTGTAAGTGTCGTGATTGATTAGTGTCTTCGCTCAATGAGAGTCCGTGCCTATTTCCGTTGCGGCTCTGAGACAGCATTGATGCATTGCGTGTTTAAAGTGTCGGTTACCGTGGTGAGAATGCAAACAAATGCAGTCTCATGCTTCCCTCCTCTTGTACGCCAATTGTCATAACACAATGGATGGTAACTGTCTTTCTGTGTAACGCCACTCCCACCCAAGCACATGCAAGCACTCAATAAAAAGACAACTTTAAAATGTCTACTGGACTTGACGGTTTGTGACATATCTCTCTCTGCAGCGACACTCATCTTATTCACAAACACGTGGAGCAGTGCATTGTGACACGGTTGTACCAGCTATGCAACGTATAATTTACTCCCAAAGTGCCTTATGCAATGAGGACTTATAATACATGTAGGAGTGTAAATGTTTTGGTTGGTGTAGGAATGTGATTCGTATTTTATAGGTGGGCGAGGTGTGACGGAAGTGCAGAGAAGCAAAGCTGTCCCTGCATTGGCCCCGGCTGGTGAGCGAGCAGGGCCCCGATGGGGGACAACGCCGAGCATCAGGAATTTGTTAAAGATCAGCAACACATTGCTCTCTAGAGTTTGCAGATGTACTGATATAATTCTTTCTGAGAATAGGCATTGAACAAAGACACCAATGGAGTGCAATTTGACGAGAAAGTCCTGGAAATGACAGCGTGTTTAGGGACCACGTGACTTGGAGATCAACCGACGGTGAAGTTGACTTCTTCACATATTCTTATTCGCAGCTGCAAAATGAATATTCATCTGAGCATTTCAATAGTAAAATGGCCTCGGGCCGCTAATATCTTGAACAAATTCAGAGCGGGCATCTCTAGGAGCATCAATTTGAATTTAACCCAGCCCAGCTTGGATTTTCGTGCCAACACAAGGCCAAGAGACACCTTTAATCATTTCCTCCTATACAGTTTACATATACTCTATGCAGAGAATTGTCACATCAAGAGTTATGTTTAGAAACCAATTTTATTCAACTATGTCTGTCATTCCTTAGCACAAAAAAACAGGCAGCCCTTAAACTAATGTATAGTCTTAAAATGTCATAAGACTTATTAGGTAAAGCTATGTTGCACATTGTAGAAGTATGCATGGACACGACACAGGAAACACTTGTACTTCAGGAATTTGGACAATTCCCGGAGTTTATCGACCATGTGACGGCAGAATTCGGGGTGTGTTTGCAATGGGACCAAGTTGGCTGAAGCTGGCCGGGTGTGAATATCGCAGTGCGCCGAGTCGGCTCACACTGCGAGCCTCCGATGGGATGAGCTGAAACTACTGCAGCCTCCTGTTGTCGCTCAATTCGAGGTGAAACATTCACCTCGGCCTCGGCTTCTCTTCACGACAATCTTATGGCCTCTCATTAAGACATCGGAAATAAGTTAACAGGAAAATGTAGGAATAACAAGTAACTCAAATTTACATGTAGCTTCGAATCTGATGGTAAATGTTAACATCGCCGTAATAGTGCACTGCGCTAATTAAGAGCTGAAGTGCCTTTAAATGACTTCTCATTTTTGTGTGACCCCTAAGCAGCCCTGCTCAGTGGATGGTAAAGTTACACGGCAAAACCTTTCTGGACTTTAAATGTTCACATCGCATAAACCATCTTATGTTCAAACACTGCAACGTTGTTAACGATTTTCAACAAAGCTGTACATTTCCGAGCCATTATGGCCAATTCACACAGCAGGGAAGAAATGCCTCAAACCTGATCCCTGCTCTCCCCTCTTTCTTGGACGGCCTGGCCCAGGTTTCGGCAACCTGCGGCTCTGGAGCCACACGCGGCCCTTCAAGGACTGCTTCATGACGTTATTTATTAAGTACCACAACACTTTGCGGCTCTTGAAATATTGAGGGTTTTTTTTTACCGAATTCGAAAAATGTACTCTTCTTGTTATTTTGGTTGCCGACCCCTGGCCTAGCCAAAGAGCTCAATTGAACCAGGCACGACACGTTTCCTGCTCAGCCTATGTCAAAAAAATAAGATAAAAACAAGTATGCATGTAAACTAAGGGGTGTATATTATTTACATCATGAAGATTAACTTACCCAGTTTGATTGACATCTCTGCACAAACCCATGTTGACATTTCACCACGAGCCTGGTCAACGACGTGTGACCTCATCCGCACGGCCGCGAGAGGTCTCAACATGAATTTCGACAAAGTGGTTAATTGCAGAAATCCATACAATGCTATTTCTCCAGTATTGCAGTCCATGTTTAATGGACAAATACCAACTATATGGCATGATTTGAACTCGTGGTATTGCAGGAAAGTCAAATCATATGAGGGCGCTATAGTGCTCCAATATAATCAAACATTTAACCGCCACTAATAACATAATTTTAACTATTTATATTTACCTAAAAAACGAAATTCAAATAATTTTCGAGGGTTATGAATGGCATGATTGGCAAAGTCTATGTGGGAAACAAGATAGGGGAGGTGAAGATTCGGATGAAAATCCCACTGCATACAGCGGGCGTCCTTTCAAGGCCCCACCACATTACCCTGCGTGCACGCAGCCGGTCTCATATACTCGACATTCCAGCATCCTTATCACATACGGATTGCAATTCGATAATCACAGACAACGCATAACCAACCCTTCATTTTAATCTTCCCACAAAGAGCTGCCTGCACCTTGCAAGACACAATTTAACCCTCGATAATTATTCCAATTTCCTAATAAGCTTAATATGCATGTCTAACACATTGCATTGTTCTGTTGCAAACACCCTTTTAAAATTGTAGCCAGTATGGTTGAACTATGTAAACGTCAATGACTGGGCTGAAACTATAAAACTCCCCGTACTTAGGAACATTAATGGAGTGCTGTGACACAGGATTTAAATCCAGAAACCACAGCATTGCCAATAGTCCAACATGGGCATCAGACTCCTATGCTCACTATTATGAGAGTAGTACTTTTGTCATGAAGGCCTCAGCCCAAAGACTCAGTTTCAAGTGTCATCCTTGGGGATGTTTAGCCAATTCTTTCCGTGACGATTATTTTAGTACATGGGGGGAAACCCGAGCTCTCAAGGAGAAATCCCAGGCATTTCAATGAATAACACTGAAGCTCCATCACACTGAGGCAGGCTGAAACCTACTTGTGGTCTTGCTTAATAAGGTACCAACATCATTGTTCTGTGGGTGGGGGTCTTACACAGGTCAATATATCTGTTTGTAAAAAAAAAATCTAAAATATCAAAAAAATATCTGCTTATTCAAAATGCTTAAGTTAGGAATTCAACCGAGAGCTTTGATTTGTGCTACAAGTATTGGCGGTGGTGTTTACGCGTTCACGTAGTGGCACGCATCGCCACGTTTCGCATCTCGTGCGTCACACACCAATCCCAACAATGCCAACGACAGCGGCATACAATACAATGCTAAAACAAATATAGGCCATAAAACTCACTTCATTATTTAAACTCAAGAATGTAGTGGTCAAATATTGGCATCAATTAGCTTACTTTTTCGTCAATTGACTGTAATAAAATATTATAATAAAATATTGTTTATGTTTTACGCACTGAGCAAAAGCATGATGTGTGTAGCCAAGAGAGCCTTGGGCTCAAGACACGTTCAGAAATGGTTTGCGCATGAGTATTTCTTCATTTATAATAAATTCCTCTATTATTTTTATCCAATTGATATCAATATCATGAGACAAAGCTTCCATTTGCAACTCCCGTGGAGCACAGTATTTTAGGAATGGGCCCGAGGAAGGTGATATCACAGAACTACGTCTGAGATGCCTTTATGACCTATCCTCGCTGCACTTCCCTGCAACTCCCTGCTTTCGAGATGTTTGTTGCATGGCAGGCAGAAAAATATATATTTTGAATCCTTATCACTGGATTGTAGCCAAATTCCAAGAAAACACAAATTGGTCTCCGTGGTGATACCATGAACTTATTACAACACTTTAAAATCCGGTTTAAACACAGGCAGCTGAAAAAAACGCATTCAGAGCCAGATCTTAGGAGTGCCAGCTTAGTGCGCTGATCCTAAGCTACCCCCCCCCCCCTAGCCACCTCTTGTAAGAGTAATCCTCAATGTCGAGGGAAAAAAACCCAGTCAATCTGTGCACGATCAGCGACCTCGAATTTCTTTACTGCACCACCATGCTTCCCACGGGCGTGGGTACCGTGCACTACCACCTCAGAACGATGCACTGAATCTGACCTCTAAATCACCTGACAGGTGCGCATCCCCACCCACACCTGGCCATACACAGTGACAATATGAGCAACTTGTGCATTTGTGATTGGCGAGTCTTGTTGGTACAACACTACTCACTCGCTGAGCACGTGACATTATGAGCCTGGTTCACTAAAATAGGCAAATATAGTGAAGATACCCCCCCCCCCCCCACCGTTCCATGCATTTGTTCAACAATGTTACGTACGAACTCAACAGATATAATTTGCTACTGCCAGGAGTACATTATGCTGCTGTGATCATACACAACTGTGTGTTTATTTGTACTATTGCCATTGAGAGTAGTTTTGGGATCTTCCTACAGAAAAGACAACCCTGGAAGTGAAATCTCATTCACTCAACACCCCTGAAGGTTCTATCTTACCACAAGATGTACACAGCTTACTAGTTGTGAAGATTGCTAAGTTGTTTGTTACGCGTCTTAAGTGGAAAATCAGCCCGCAGTTGAGTTTATACTCAATTTAGTCCAACACCAAATGCAATAAAATAATTTCGTGCAGTTACTGGTGAATGGGCCAGGTTGACTATGAACCTCACAATACTGGGCAGTGTGGTTAACTCCTTGCTGGGGATTTGAATCGAGGATCTCAGCGCTTATGGCCTCACATTCTCAAATGGGCTCACGAGCTTATTGAGCGATCCAGCCACCCCCTGGCAATGATTTGCAGTTTTACGTGTGTGTGTATGTGCTATGAGTGTTACAACGAACCGGAAACGAGCTCCGCCGAGCCACGCGGAGCTGTGTTGGAGGCTCTTTAATGATGCCAATGCCACCCTCTAGCAGCAATGCGGCATCGAGGCAGGAAAACACCCATGACAATTATTCACAAAGCATCATCAGGTGGCCTCAAGACAGCAGACTGTAAAAGTAGGGGGAACAGGTAATGCTTCTGCCAGTCACCCAGTTTGCTAAATAAACCTGTGTCTGTTCTGTGGTGTGCCAAAGAACCTATTTGACTCTCACATTGCCTCAAAGCTCATCTAAGTCACCTAACCTAGTACAAGCTCTGTAGTGGTGTTACTGTCACTAGTGGAAAAAGGTAGCTGTTGATGTGTGTATGAGAATATAATGCATGGGGACGTGTGTGAGCAGGTGGGTGTGCTTGTGTGTGCAAACGTTTAATGAGTGGGTATGTGTGTGTGAGCACCTATTAACGCAGGCACGACGCACAAAGGGGTGCAATGGCCAGCACTACACCTGACCACCTTCGCTTCCCAAGCTCTGATGTTTACATACCCACACTAGATACTCATGTAAAACTGAGTTGACCGAGGCGAGGCCCAGGACCGGTTCAGATATTCGCTGTCACCGATTTTACCTGTCAGTCGGAATCCAATTTGGGTCACCAGGTAAGTAGTGCTCGTTGATAACCAATATACTATCACTCCTCAATAGGTGCTTGCTAATAGTAGTTATCTCAACAGCCTATGTAAGCAATGTGTGGGATATTTGTCTTTGTGTGTGTAATGTGTGGGTACATGTGACTAATATGTGAGTGCGTTTGAGTGTATGTGTGAGCGTGAAATGCATGAGTATGTGTTCGTGAGTGTATTTTGTGTGTGAGAATGTGTGTGACAGTGTAGCAGTTAGCGCGCTGCGCGACGAACCTGGCCACCCGAGTTTGATTCCCGCTAATGGCAAACAACAGTGACGATTATTCGAACCGGTCCTGGGCCTCCCCTAGGTCGACTCACCGTCAAATGAGTATCTGGTGTGGTGTGTAAACATCGCCACTGGGGAGACAGAGGCCGCCGGGCGAGATGTTGGTCACCCTCCCCCTCGTGTGCCGTGCCGGCCTCCATAGGTGCCCGCTAATAGCACTCGCTCCTACAGTCTGTTAAGGCTATATGGAAGATCTCTGTCTAGTGAGTGCACGTGTGTGAGTGCGCGTGAGAGTGCGTGCGTGTGTGTGCAAGCGAGCACGTGCCCTCAAGCGTGCGAGTGCCGTGCTGCGCTCGGCCCCGCCTGCGCATGCGACTGTTTGGCTCGGCGCGCGCTCGTGCTCTGACGCTGGCATGCGAGGAACGACTGCGTGGGGCCAGCACCACCGCTCGCACCCCCAGCCCGACTCCCCTTTGGCAGACCGATCCCCTACACGCACACACAAAAAGGTCCCCATTGCAGGGTCAGGCAATGCTCTACTCTGTGGCTCCCAACCTTGCTGGACCCACAGATTGCCACAGCACACAGATGCATTTGTCAACATTTAAACTACCCTAATAGGGATGTAAAATATTAACAAAAAATCCATAAAAAGTTTATCTTGCTTTTTACTGGCTCACAATAAATATCAACGGTAGCACAGGCCAAGACCAGACACCCGTGTGCACGCAGCACAGGCCAAGACCAGACACCCGTGTGCACGCAGCACAGGCCAAGACCACTACTATGGACCACTGCTATGGCAGGGAGCACAGCTACTGATCTCAAGCCAAAGTGGCCTAAAACAGGCCAAGAACAGGTTTAGACACCATATGCCACCGACGCCGCACGCATGCGGCATGTACCTTTATCTGTATTTTGGGGTTTGCCCTCGCGTAATCTGAAAAACCCGGTAATTACTTATTTTACAAAGTGGAAAATGTGGCTCTCTAGTGGCTACAGGGTTTACATGAACCGATTTCACACAACACGGATCACAGGCAAAAGAACGTTATGTGTGCTGCGAGTGAGTGGGGGAGTAATCATCACTCACCATATTGTACCAAGCGCTGACAATGAGCTTCTCCTCCTGCTCTCGCAGCTGCCGTGTCTTTTCGCACTCGCGCTGCAAGAACGTCCAATCACACACAGACACTTAACGATGATAATCCACATTCCAGCACTAACACGCTCTAGTCCAAGGGTCAGTAACCTGCAGCTCCGGAGCCGCATGCGGCTCTTTCAGGACAGCAGTGTGGCTCTTGAAATTCGCAAAAAATGTCTCTTCTCGCTATTTTGGTTGCCGATCCCTGACCATAGAAATCCAGTTCATCATGGGAGTCCAGTTTACCATGAAAGTCCAGTTTACCATGGAAGTCCAGTTTACCATGGACGTCCAGTTCATCATGGGAGTCCAGTTTACCATGGGAGTCCAGTTTACAATGGAAGTCCAGTTCACCATGGGAGTCCAGTTCACCATGGGAGTCCAGTTCACCATGGGAGTCCAGTTCACTATGGGCACGGGTTGGCAACCTGCGGCTCCGGAGCTGCATGCGGCTCATTAAGGTTTGTTTCGTGACATTATTGATTAAGGACCACCGTCTTGTATTCACACGCATTGCGGCTCCTGAAAGATTGAGGTTTTATTACCAAATTAGAAAGAAATGGCTCTTCTTGTTGTTTTGGTTGCTGACCCCTGCGCTCTAGTCTGACATTAGTACACTCTGATTAGTACACTAGTTTACCCAGGAAAGCCTCACCAAGTCTAAACCCTCTCAGAAGGGTACTGTTAAATTTTTGTAGTCGGGGGCCGATGGTTTTAACATATTTCTTGATTAATTTGCAAGAAGTTTTTCAAATTTGAACTGTGACACCGGCACACAATGGCATACTCTTCTGCCATTAACATCTTAGTATCCAGTCATCCTCACAAATGCAGCTGTCAGGTTGTGCTCAACTTCAGACTTCACCTAAATTGAGCACAGATGCACTTGCCACTCACTGGAAACTAAACATCCAACCAGCTCGGCCCAAACCCAAGCAGGACACAGGTCGGTCTCTTTCATCTACGCAACCGTGATGCCAACAAAATACTCAAGATCACCTGGACTGGCGTTCCCATCACTCACTTCACCAGCACAGTCTACCTTGGAGTGACCCTTAGACCGCACGCTCTCCTTCAAGAGCCTCATCGAGAAGACTAAAGGAAAAGTCAGCTTCCCGAAACAACATAATCCGCAAGTTTGTAAACTCAACATGTGGACTGCGCACAGCCACAACCAAGACCTCAGCATTCACCCTAAGCTGCTCCAACGTAGCGTGCGCCTGCCGCGTCTGGGAACTATCAGCCCACGCAAGGAAAATATACATTCTGACCTGCCCCTACCGGACACCTATGAAAAAGAGCTTTATAGCGCTTCGGATTTCTCCAGTATAAATAAATATTCCCATTCTGATACCCTGCGCTCATCACAAGCTGCCTCAAACCCACAAACTTCAACAGCTAATACATCAGACACCGTCTTAGAACAGCACAGGCACTGAACAACAAAGACAAATGTCCCCCCAATAGCCTTAACAGACTTTTGGGGCAAGTGCTGTTAGGGAACACCAATGAAGGCCATCACAGTACACAAAGGGGTGGGTGGCCAGTACCACGCCCGACCGCTTTCGTCTCCCCAGTGGCGATGTTTACACACCGCAACAGGTACTCATTTGAGGCCAAGGGAGGCCTAAGACCAGTTCAGTTTACACACCCGTGACCACACACGAGGAGTTGTGGCGGTAACGACTTGAATGCCTTGGTGCTGAGATCAGCATGAGGCATCAAGGTGAGTGAACAACTCCCCACAGGAACAATCGCGGGGTGGACCATATAGAGAGCTCTGAACCGACTTGGCACCCAAGTCGACAGCTCAAGGCCCAACCCTGGCCACGTGGCGGTGCTCCACATAACCAGCGCTGCCAGCTGCTGCTGCGACTATGGTGGCGAGAGGCAGCCTGCGCGACGCCTCCTGCACTGCCCACTGCTCAAGGAAGGCCCCTGCAGTGTGCAAGGTCTCGCAGCAGGCGATCTGCGAGTGCCGAAATGTCCTAGTCACGCAGGACATTCGACTTTAGGGGACTGACACAAAGAGAAGAATAAACCTCAAAGGATCTTTAACGTCCACTATTTTAGGGTTAATACATCCGCAGTTTTTACTTGTATGGCCTGCCAGATTCGAACCTCCAACCTCAGCAAAAATGTATTTAAAATCAACAAAGTGTTTAACGTTGGTGCTATCATTGATTCTGACCTCTCTTGTACCTCTCAACTCTGCAGGATCTCCAACCAGTGCTTCTCAGGCATTTTAATTGGCAGTCCCCCAATCAAGGCCACTGGTCTCCACGCCCCTCCCTCTCTAATCCATCCATGGCACTCGCACATCTCTACTATGTTGCACAAGTTGCTCAAACACATCGATCAACGTCTGTGGACGTCCCCTCTGGTGAGTTCCCTCTTTTGGCTGCCACTCCGTCTCGACCACGAGCCACCATCCCTTTTCTCGACGTGTTCTTCCCAAGACCATTTATTACTTTAATTATCGTGCAATGTTAAACATCCCTGAATGCCCCTTTTCCAATCTTAAAATAAAATATCAAAACAAATTTGCAAAGAAGTTGTTAACTCTTGGAAAGAGGCACCTCTCTCTGTGCTGATCATTGCCTGGTGGCAGTTTTGGCTAAGAGCCAAAACCTATTTTAGCTTAAATCTTAATGTGGTGGCAGCTGCTGCGGAATTATTCACGCGTCGAAAACAATATCACACTCAATAGCGACACTAGCGGTACACAGAACTACATATGTTGGGATATCCCTATGATACACTCCATTTTTGGCTCAATCTTGATTGAGTGGAGGATGTAGTAACACATCATTGGCCTACAGAAGGCATCGGAGTGCTGTATTATTTTATTCTGCAAGATATCCATGCCACAGCCGGTGCGCCCTCATGAAATGCCACTGTCCTACCACCTGTGACACCACATCTCCTGAACTGTGCGAGTCCTACTGCAAAGACCTCAATGCATTTGCTTTTGACAATATACTACTCAACTCTTACTTCTACATCCTAATTAAATTCCTCATCACAAAACGGCAGATTATCAAAACTCCTGCCACCAAAGGTTTCACCTGTACCCACAAATGTGACCACATCACTCCAATCCTAGATTTCCTTCACTGACCCTCTTTCCAATTGTAGATTAATTACAAGAACGCATTCATCACGAGACTGCATCATGGACACGCCATCGCCTGCCTCTACCCTCATTTTGGTCTAGTCTTCTCGCCATCCCCTCAACTCCAGAGGCCGCGGCCGGTGAAGCCATCCCAGTTACTCCCCACTCAGACTCAGTTGGTTGCCACTCCTCCTCTGCTGTCCCTACTGCCGAATTCCCTCCTCGTTGTCATTGATTAAAGTCCTTTAATCAATGACACCAACTCTTAGTAGGAGATTGGCAGCTACAGTTCCCCATCCTTCCTGTCCTCCGCCCTTCTCAAGCATTTGTTTGCCTTTAGACTACCGCACTCCTCGAAACAACAATTCCACATTGGTCCTCATCCACCCCTTGTTATTCTTCCGCTTTTGATTCAACGTATTTGTGCAGACTCGTATGCCACGCAACAATTTGAACGTTTTGTTCCATTGCCCCCATGGTTCATAGCCAGCCAAGGTAGAGTGGCAAGGCTCAGTCGTGAGGTTGTGAATTCAAATCCTGGTCAACGTTGGCTCTGCCTCATCATGACCCACATCACCACCATCCCTCCAGGACAGCAAACAAGCACCACCTAGTGGGGATTTTAACCTCTTAGGAAAAGCTTATGTTCATTTGAGCAAAAGTATAAATTTATTCACGCTACAAGCAAAACACGTGAGGCTTATGGATGTTATGTCACAAAAAAAAAAACGTGTTGACCTTAATGGACTTGACTTGTTTTGGCTTTGAAAAATCAAAGCCAAAACAATCCTAAATTGCATTAGCCATTATTGATTCCTGTTATACAATTGTGCCGTCCAGATTAATAGATGTATTCCAATCAAATGCATTCATTTCAAAATTAACGTCTGATCAGCACACAAAGCGATTGAGAAATCACAATTATTCCCAGTTGATCAAATCATCTGTGCATGGGGCTGTGTAGGGGACCCCCCTTAAGCTCCACGCCACCCAATCAAGAGGCAGTCACACCCCTCATTGCGAAGCAAGACGTTCATCCAAGCAGGTACTTGGCGGACTCTGGCATTCTTATCAACCTACCGTCCCCTTACTCTTTGGATGGTACGTAACAACCAGAAGTAATTTGTCTCTGTCTTGTTTAGAGTCCTGAAGATGTGAAAACATTGTAACAACACGACAGTGGGAAAATTTCAGATAGGATATTTATTCAGTCGAGTCGGAATCGCGGCTTTTCACGTCCATCATGTTCGTATTTTCATGTTTTATTTTCAAGTTTATTGAGTACATTTGTCATGACCAATTACAATTTAAAAATGACAAAAGGTGTGAAAAACCCATTGAGGTGTATTTATAATGTCTATGCAGGAAAGCCTTGCCAAATCTCCAGACTCTCCTCTAGGGGAGTCCTGATTGGAACATCCATTGTGAAGAACTTTCTCCTGTGGGAAACATCCAGACCCCCTGAGAAGGCTCATGGCATACACAGGGAGGAAATGCCCACTTTTCTTTACAGATATCTCGTCAGAAATCTACCTGATGTACTACAGATGTCACCCTCTTTAAGGCATTTATCACAGCACGTACAGTCAGCCATGAAAACGAGGCTTTGATAATTAACATGTGATCGCAGAACCTACCCACTAATGGTGCGAGAGCTGATGATCAAGGCTGCCCAGAGAAGCCACCTTGTTTGTCAGTCAGTCACAGCACTGACACAATATTCATCGCACTTAGGGGAGACGGGCCTCATTCGGCCCGGATTAAACCAGACACCTATGGTGCTGATGATCAAGGCTGCCCAGATGTTTCTGGAAGCCTCAGGCAGACCGCCACATGGGGACTCCTAATTGAATTTCGATTTAAAGCTTTCGTCACTGCAGGGATTCATCTCCTTAGTTCTTTTGGTAACTCCTAATTGATCAGCGACGATAAAAAACAGGCCTGTTTTGGTGCCTCCTGTTGAGGCCCCAGGAAAATTGGCCCATATCCTTCCACCTACCCCCTCAAGATAGCCCTACTAATGATGACCCATGTAAGACCTGACTTTTAACAAAGATTAAACAATGAATACAAAAAACTGACTGCTATGAAACCAGCACTAGAGGGCATCATTAGTTCTAATACAAACCAGTGGCAACACATCCTGTGGACGAAGCAAGCTTTTTATTGACAACTCTGCAATACAAGAAATCTAATTTGCTTGTCGGTGGGTCAACCACAGCAAGGATTTAGGAAATTTGTCGCAAGTGATCAGATGGCGGAGGTGGGGTACAAAGGCTTAGAAGGCCAATGGTGACTCGGATGCAATGCCAATGCAGCTTTCAATTCATTGGATACAGTCGATGAGGTCAAATGTCACCAGGTGACAGAGGCTTCAAGTTGCTCGTGCAAGTGCAGTTTTACCAAGGAGTGTAAGTTTAACTGCGAAATAATAATCTCGTTCGCAGATTGGGCTGGAATTTGCTTGATAGACGCAAGGGTGAATAACCTTGTCCTAGCTCGCGGCGGTCGTACCTCCAGGGAGTGAACCAGGTTGTCCTTCTGGCGGAGTTGGCTGCGAAGGGCTTGTAATTCAGTAGTTGTCATCGGGCTCTGCTTAGGGTCAAGGGTCTTGATGACCTGAAGGCCAGGGGTCAAGAGGTCAGTCACAGGCATTTACCAAGGACACAAATAAGCAAGCCAATGCAGCCGACCACCACTCATGCACATCACACGGTCACTGCTTCATCTGCAATGTCTGATTCATAACACGTGTGCAGATGTATAGGATATATGCGTTGAATGTGTGGAGTGATATTTTAAAATGTCATTGAAAACCACGTGAAAAGTTAACGCAACACAAGAAAAAAGCGAGTCTCATAGTGATACAAAAAAGTGGGGGAAATCCCATGTAAAACCTTTAAATTTGGATTTGAAACTGGGTAAAAACTATTGAAAATAAAAAAAATTGTCCAAAACTTTTCTAATTATTATTTTATCAAGGCAAATAATCATCTCTTCTCAGCTAAAATGGATATTTCATAAAAGTATAAGATGATTTCCCTGCAACTGTGACGTACAGTACAGGCCAACGGACGAAAAAAGGCTTTGTGGTTCACTGTCAGACGGTGGAAGGAGTCACAAAGTGTCCAGGGTTGAGTTGTGATGCGAGACGGTGCCAGGACGAGGCTCACACTCTTGGCCTTGTCCAGGTATCGCTTGTAGCGCTCCTCCATTGCACGCATGTCCCTTTCCTTCTGCTCCAGTGCGGCCTGCAGCTCCTCCACGCTCGGGGCTACAGGGGGCAATGGACGGCAGCAGACGACGAGGGGCACACTGAGGATGGGAGAAACGACGATGGGGAGAGACCCATACAACTGACCGCCAGGCTACTCGGCCCACGTCACTTATGTATGCAGCAGTGGGGAATGGTGGCACTGTCCTGCCAACCCAGGTTTGATTACTGGCCACAGCTGACATCAGTGGCAAAGGATATCTGAACCAGTTCTGGGGCCCCACTTTCGTAATCCCGCAAAGATCATGTCAATAAAGTATGGACAAACAACCCCCATGACAAAAAAGAGCAAGGGGCCATATAATATTGAGTAATGTTTTCACATCGGGAGTGGTTCCGAATGCAATCAAAACCTAATTTATAATCGACGTTTGGGTTTGGCCATGTAATTAATGACCTCTCATCACACACCTCTCACCATTCCCGCTATGACAATCAAGTTCCTTCCCGACTGGTCACACAAGCATTGCCTTTTATACCCTACACTGCTAAAGTCGACAACTCATGACCCACCTCTACCCACCTCATTGCAATATATCGGTTTAATGTCAACCACTTACCACTCTCGGATCTGCATTCCTGAGAAGTAGGTTCACATCAAGAACTCTAAATTACAAAAACAGAGGCCGAATTCTTTGACCCCTGCGGATGGGTGTCTCAAGCACGATGATGTTGTGCGTGCAACGGGCACACCCCTTCAAAGGGCTGGCACACCGGCCTGTGTTACCACTGTGAGTGCAAGACTCCGCTGTGTGGCGTGCGAGGAGAGACTCCTACACGCAGGGTTCGCCTGTGGCTGCAGTCCCTCAATGAGCGCTCGCTGCATCTTGAGCTCCGAACTCTCCTCTGCCAGTTTCTCCCTGGGACAAGCAAGACCAGACATGACACCAACTCGAGAGGAGATGACAGACAACATGTCCACACATCGGGCCATCCTTTGTCGCAAGGTATCGATTCTCAACCTCCGCATTCAATCGTCATGACTCGCGGTCAAACCTTGCTTCGTAAATTCATGCCATCTTGCCCTTGCAGTGCATGTTTTTTAGTTTCATTTATTAGGTCTATCCCTGTGAGCCATGCGGCTCTTGACTCGGGTGCAACCGCAACAAACAAAAACATGAACAAGAAACATCTTAAAGTGACTAGACGCAACAGAAAAATCCAGGAAGAAACAGCAAAAGTCTTCCACAAAAAACACCGTATTTCAACGCTGTGTGCAAAAATCCCAGTGGGATGCAAGTCAAACAATAACAACCATAAGACAATTTAGATTAAAGTTATCAGGCTAACTCTGTACTAAAACAAACAAACATGGCTAAACCAAAACGTTTTCAAAATCACCAAATAAAGATATAAAAACAATGTAACAGTGATCATAGAAACTGTGATTCAAATTTAACAATAAACGATATACATGACATGTACGACCAAACTTTGCAGCCATAGCTGGCTGCATGAGTCACTCCATAACAGCAGGAGTATCAGTATCAAAAATTTTCAATACACCTTTAAAGATCAGCACACTATAATCAAAACTCAAGATCATACTTTGCAGCGGTCATCCGGAATGATACATTTGATTTCTGGCCATCTGAATAGCAGTGGCAGCTACGGGTGTACAACTCCTCTAGAGCAGTTTTGAGTGAAGATCTCACAGGTAGTGATCCAAGTTGCGGTTTATTGGCGATAGCATTCCATAGGCTTGCAACAATTCATTGCGATGTACCATAGGCTTGCAACGATTCTCCGATTCATCAATTAAAATAGATGATCATGTTCACGATGCATGCCAAATTATTTATTATCAGTATCTTGGTAAGCTTTATAGCGATTGCATGGAATGTATAAATTTAAACCAATTTCTGAGGTGGCTGGGTGCCTCAGAGATCAGAGCGTATTCCACCAGGATCCGAGCTGTAACAGTGGGATTGAACTAGCCCCGGTCAGGCCGGGTCCTCCGGTCCAACCACTTGTGGTCTCAGCCTGGTGGCACCAACAAATGCAAAATTCCAGCTCTGATAACACTGTGTAACAATTTTTTTTTGTTCCTGGGTAGTAAGTGTTATTTCCTAATTGGTTATGCCAGGGGTGTCCAAACTTTTGCAAAGAGGGCCAAATTTGATAAAGTGAAGATGCCCAGGGGCCAATAGTCCCTTCCGACATTTTTACCACAAAAGTTACGTGAAAACACACTGTTATAAAACAATTATCATTGTCACAATTACCTTTATTTTTCAAATGACAATGTAACCAAATATAAACCGCTCAGGCAGACGTGAACAACTCTAAATACACAATTCTGCCTTTCATTCAGTCAGATAACATTGAACAAACTGTATAGAATACTTTAAATTTCCATGAGTTAAATATATTTGCCTCATGAACATTTCAAACAGGAGTTATAAGTAATGCAAAGTGGTCTGTTATCATTAAACTTTAAAACAAGTGAATTTTGTCTTTTACAAGATCTTTCAGAAAGCAGGAGCTTGTGTCACATCTACAGGTACATAACATCAACAGTTATAACCAAATCTTATTCAAGAGTTTAATAAAAACAAGTGCCATAAGTCCAAGTGCATTAGTGTGCTTTAGGCTTTTCACTGTTAATAGTGACAGATGTTACCGTTCAAAACACTCAATTTCAGATTGATCAAGGAACAGGTAACTTGCTGACACTAATGAGAAGGGTGATACTGAGATCTAGATTTCAGTAAAGAGACCAGGTCAGGCTTGAGGGCAGTGGTTGAGATGCGTAAAATGCCACGCAATTGGGAGTCACTCATCCTTGACCTAAATCGGTTCTTATTTAAGTTCATGACTGAGAATGTTTGCTCACACAAATATGTAGAGCCGAATAACCACATAATTTTCTTAGCGAATGACCGCATTTCTGGAAACCTGCTTTTGTCCAGCTGCCGGTAAAAGTCAACAAGAGAACACTGCTGGTGTTTCCCGCGGCACTCATCGTCAAACTGCAGCTCAATGAGCTCCAGATGCAGCTGTGGAGGAGCATCATCAGGGTCCACGGAGAAGGGAGAAGAGAAAAGCAACATGTCCTTTTCAATAACTGCAAAGTCCCGAAAGCGTTTGTTAAATTCCACAGAAAGAGATGCGATAGCTGTTGCATAACTCTTCATTTGCGCTCCGATGTTGTCCTGTGAGAAACTGTCAATTACCTCTTTCAAAGCTGGGAAGTGCGCGGTGCAGGGCTCTGTTTGGGACAAGTGTCTTTGGAAAAGTTGCAGTTTGGTTCCAAAGGCCTTGGTGTGAGCATATAGCTGGCTCACCACTGCATCTTTCCCTTGAAGATTAACATTCAGCGCATTCAGATGCTTCGTTATGGCAACCAAAAAAGCCAGATTTACCAGCCATACAGGATCGGACAGTTCTTCCATTGGTTGTCCCTTCTCACCCAAAAAATGTCCAATTTCCTCTTTGAGAGAGAAAAAATCGCTGCAGTGCGGACCCCTGACTTAGCGACCTCACATCGTTGATATATTACGTCACCGTATTCAGCCTGGATGTCACGCAAGAACTGCTGAAACTGTCGGTGGTATAGAGCTTTAGAGCGAATATAATTGATTGCCTTTGCCACTGGTTTCATAACATCGTCAAATTTGAGATGTTTGGCACAAGAGAGCCTGCTGGTGAATGATACAGTGAAGTTTAATATCGTTACCTGCTTCTTCGCTGACTTTATTGCAGATCAATGTGGACAATCCACTTCGCTCACCAGCCATGGCAGGTGCACCATCGGTAATGATCCCAGAAACTTTACTCCATGGTAGTTTCATATCATCAACAGCTTCACAAACAGAAACGAATACATCTGTTCCTCTGGTTTGCCCTTTAAGGCTTTTGAGGTCAAGCAGCTCTTCTGTCACGTTCATGTTGTCATCAACTCCTCTTAAAAAAATAAGTAGTTGTGCAGTGTCAGATGCATCAGTGCTTTCATCGCAGGCTAATGAGAAATAGTCAAAAGCCACTCCCCTGTCCCCCAGTTGTCTCGGAATATCTGACGATATGTCCTCAACTCTCCGTGCCACAGTGTTGCGTGCTAGGCAAACATTCATAAATTCTTGCTTCTTCTCAGGGCAAATGTTCTCCACCATTTTAATGACACAGTTTTTGATAAACGCACCTTCAGTAAAAGGTTAGCCATGTTTAGCTATTAATATGGTCACTTCGTAGCTGGCTTTGGTGATGTTTTCCTTTGACTTACAGGCCGGCGTGAAGAATCGCTGTTGCGATGCCAGAGCAGCTTGAAGTTGCTTTACTTTTTCAGCGCGGTCACTCCCTGTTAGCTTGTCGTATGTTGTAGCATGTTTAGTCTCGTAGTGTCTCTTTACGTTGAAATCCTGAAACAAGGTATCCGTCTCTTTACAAATTAGACAAACACAATTTCCTCGATTTCCAGTGAAGAAGTATTGTAATTCCCACCGCTCCTGAAAGCGGCAGCCCTCACTGTCAACTTTTCTCTCTTTTTTTTGCAGTAGCCATGGCAGAAATGATTCGAGAAGGGTTCGCGGCACGGATGCAAAATTAGAGAGCATTAGAATGGTGCTGCCACCGTGTGGCGGAAAGAGGAATTTATTTATTCTGACAGAGCTAGCGAGCCATAAATAACACATTATAAGACCGAAGCTGCGGGCCGTATGAAATCTGCCCGCGGGCCGGACTTTGGACATGCCTGGGTTATGCCTCAAAAATACATAAAACGGCTATTATTCCCCACAAACTTTGCTTTTGTGACCAGGAGAGTGATATTTTGAAATGTACCTATTTTCCAGAACATTCCAGATAGATGCAGTGCTGAGTAAACTTGGAGTAACTTCTAGAACATTCTAGAACTTTCCAGTAATATAAATAGTAGTATATATACAGGGGCCTTAAGCCCACCAGTTCAGTTTAGTTCCAACTGCCTAAGTGGATACATATCTGCATTTTTCTGAGATGGCATCAAGAGGCTGCAAGCATCCAGCAGACGCATTTTGCTATGTCTGCGGCCAATTTATCAAGACAAAAAGTGCCCAGGGTTTATCGGAGATTAAGACAAACCCTGGGCACCTCATTTCACCGGCGAGCAATGCAAAAAAACTCTGGAAGGTAAGATGGACAATTGATGCTCGGAATTTTATGTTATAAAATGTTAAAAACATTTAAATTATAAAAGTAAAAAAAAGTAAATATATACATTTATATAAATATATGAATGAATATATGACAATTTTTGCGATAATCTCTTACACATTTAGTCATAGGTGAAATAAATGTATTTTTGTAGGATGGTACAGAGGGGAAAAGAGAGCCATGAAGTTCGCTATCTCAATAATTTGGCGGGAACCCACTGACCACTCAAGCAACTGCTACTTCTGCATGGTGGACCCTTCCAAATGTCGGACTGGCAAGAATGCACCTGCCATTACATATCCAGACCTTCCTTCATCCATCGCCCTGGTGCTACACTACCATGCGCCTCTTCATTGACAGCTCATCCAGGAGGCTCAACGCCATGCTGCTCCATAATGGTAACAAGTACCCGTCTCTTCCCCTGGCTCACTCGGTGCACTTTAAAGAGGATTAAAACAGCATCAAGACCTTGCTGGATGCCTTGAAGTATGATAAGTATGGCTGGGAGGTCATCGGAGACTTCAAAATGGTGGCATTCCTGATGGGTCTCCAAGGCGGTTTTACCAAGTTTCCCTGCTATCTTTGCCTTTGGGACAGCAGGGACACCAAGGCGCACTACCACAGGCGGGACTGGCCACAGCGGACCGAGTTCTCTGTGGGGAGGAACAACGTCAAGTGGGAGCCACTGGTAGACTCCCGGAAGGTGCTGATGCCACCACTGCACATCAAATTGGGCCTTATGAAACAATTTGTCAGAGCTGTAGATAAGGAGTCGGCAGCCTTCAAGTACCTTCAATACTTCTTCCCTAAGCTGTCTGAGGCAAAGGTCAAAGCCGGTGTCTTCGTCGGACCACAGATAAAGAAGATCCTGGAGTGCAATGAATTCCCAAAGAAGCTCACTAGTCCAGAGAAAGCGGCTTGGAACAGCTTTGTCGCAGTGGTTCGTGGCTTCCTGGGCAATCACAAGGTCGAAAACTATGTGGAGCTGGTTGAGACTCTGGTGAAGAACTATGGCACAACGGGCTGCAGGATGTCCCTCAAAATCCATATCCTTGATGCTCATCTTGATAAATTCAAGGAGAACGTGGGAGCGTACTTGGAGGAGCAAGACGAGCGTTCCACCAGGATATACTGGACTTTGAACGCCGCTACCAAGGACAGTATAATGAGAACATGATGGGAGACTACATTTGGGGGCTGATTCGTGAAAGTGACTTACAGTATAATCGTAAATCTCGAAAAACTACTCACTTCTAAATCTTTTGTAGTAATTTTTGTATTATTTTAGTATAAATACAAGTTAATTTTGATTCATAAATTGCTTTTTTCTGACTTATGTGAACGAAAAGACACAAATTCGCCCGTTTTCTCATTGAAAATAGGTAAATTAAAATATATCACTGTCCTGGTCACAAAAGCAAAGTTTGTGGGTAATAATACCCATTTTCCATACTTTTTAGGCATAATCAATTACGAAAAAACACTTCCTACCCAGGAACAAAAATTGTGTTACACAGTGTAATTAAAATATCCATCGTACAAACTTGGAACACTGAACTCACATGGGCAGCGTGTGTAGAGGAGAGTGCGTCCCCTGTCGTATAAAAAATGCAGCTTTTCTCTGACACACTGGGCTGCACTGCTTGGTGAGATTTCCCAACGCATTATTTGTCTCGGAGCATGACACCGACAGCGCAGGGGGAATACATATAAAAAAAGGCCAAATATAACAGTGAGAATGTTATTCTGTAACTGTTAGGCCTATCACTAAATATTAAGAGCAATTCAATTCAAGTAACATCTCTCAAACCCGGACTCAAGTAACTGGAATTCAGAGTAAGCCAGAAGGAAGGCTACTGGAAACAAATAAAATAAAATACAACCTCCTATGAGACACTATTCTGGTGGTAGGAGATGAAGTGCATATAGGCAATAGAAACTTTAAAGATGAATAATTATCTGTCACATGGAATTTGGCAAAGTCATGCCCTTTAATTTCATAAGCTAATGTGGGGGGCTCTCGTTAATTTGAATTTAATAAAAAAAAAAACAGGGATCACAACAGTGACAGTGGTGAGATAAAAATTTGAGGACTCACAAGTGTTCTTCAACTTTCTTGGTCAGGACGATAGACTGTGGTGAGAAGCAAAGAGAGAGTTAAATAAGCCGAACAAATCAAATGTTATTTTGTCAAAGGAAAATCTAAGCAGCAAGCAGGCCACAAAATGTGACATCATGAGCAATCACTGCAGAAACCTTATTCCCAAATGCAGCCTCCTCACCGTGGCTACAAAAGTGATCATTCTCCAAAAAGAGTTTCAATAAAAAATGGCTGGGAAGCACTGGAGGATTGGGGGGCTTAGGGGAGAGGAGGAGGAGCTGGAGGAGTGGGGGGCATCTACGAGAGGGGGTGGAGGAATTGGGGGGCAAGGAAGAGGGGCTGGAGAAGGTGGGGGGGGGGGCTAAGAGAGATGGGGTGAAGGGGGGGCTAGGAGAGGGAGGGGTTGGGGGAGTGGGGGGGATAGAATGAGAAGCTGGAGGAGTTGGTGGGGGACAAGGAGAGAGAGGGGGAGGATGGGGGAGTGGGGGGTGGCTAGGAGAGAGAGGGGGGCTGGGGGATTGGGGGGGGGGGGGCTCGGAGAGGAGGGTCTGGGTGAGCCCCTCGCTCACCCAGATCCCCCTCTCCTAGCTAGGGAGGGGATGTGGAATGGGGGACTAGGAGAGAGAGGGGATGGGGGAGTAGGGGACTAGGAGAGAGAGGGAGGGGATGGGGGAATGGGAGACTAGGAGAGAGGGGGAGGGGCTGGGGGAAGTGGGGGCTAGGAGAGAGAGGGAGGGGCTGGAGGAGTGGGGGGCTATGAGAGAGAGGGAGGGGGTGGGGGAAGTGGGGGGCTAGGAGAGGGAGGGGCTGGGGGAGTGGGGGGCTATGAGAGAAAGGGAGGGGCTGGGGGAGTAGGGGGCTAGGAAAGAGAGGGAGGAGCTGGGGGAGTGGGTGGCTATGAGAGAGAGGGAGGGGGTGGGAGAGGGGGGGCTAGGAGAGAGAGAGGGAGGGGCTGGGGGAGTGGGGGGCTAGAAGAGAGAGGGAGGGGCTGGGGGAGTGGGGGGCTAGGAGAGAGAGGGAGGGGCTGGGAGAGTGGGAGCCTATGAGAGTGAGGGAGGGGGTGGGGGAGTGGGGGGCTAGGAGAGAGAGGGAGGGGCTGGGGGAGTGGGGGGCTATGAGAGAGGGAGGGGGCTGGGGGAGTGGGGGGCTATGAGAGAGAGGGAGGGGGTGGGGGAGTGGGGGGCTAGGAGAGAGAGGGAGGGGCTGGGGGAGTGGGGGGCTAGGAGAGAGAGGGAGGGGCTGGGGGAGTGGGGGGCTATGAGAGAGAGGGAGGGGCTGGGGAAGAGGGGGGGCTAGGAGAGAGAGAGGGGATGGGGTGCTAGGAGAGAGAGGGAGGGGCTGGGGGAGTTGGGGGCTAGGAGAGAGAGGGAGGGGTGGGGGAGTGGGGGGCTAGGAGAGAGAGGGAGGGGCTGGGGGAGTGGGGGGCTATGAGAGAGAGGGAGGGGCTGGGGAAGAGGGGGGGCTAGGAGAGAGAGAGGGGATGGGGTGCTAGGAGAGAGAGGGAGGGGCTGGGGGAGTGGGGGGCTAGGAGAGAGAGGGAGGGGCTGGGGGAGTGGGGGGCTAGGAGAGAGGGAGGGGCTGGGGGAGTGGGGGGCTAGGAGAGAGAGGGAGGGGCTGGGGGAGTGGGGGGCTATGAGAGAGGGGGAGGGGGTGGGGGAGTGGGGGGCTAGGAGAGAGAGGGAGGGGCTGGGGGAGTGGGGGGCTAGGAGAGAGAGGGAGGGGCTGGGGGAGTGGGGGGCTATGAGAGAGAGGGAGGGGCTGGGGAAGAGGGGGGGCTAGGAGAGAGAGAGGGGATGGCGTGCTAGGAGAGAGAGGGAGGGGCTGGGGGAGTTGGGGGCTAGGAGAGAGAGGGAGGGGGTGGGGGAGTGGGGGGCTAGGAGAGAGAGGGAGGGGCTGGGGGAGTGGGGGGCTATGAGAGAGAGGGAGGGGCTGGGGAAGAGGGGGGGCTAGGAGAGAGAGAGGGGATGGGGTGCTAGGAGAGAGAGGGAGGGGCTGGGGGAGTGAGGGGCTAGGAGAGAGAGGGAGGGGCTGGGGGAGTGGGGGGCTAGGAGAGAGGGAGGGGCGGGGGGAGTGGGGGGCTATGAGAGAGAGGGAGGGGCTGGGGGAGTGGGGGGCTAGGAGAGAGAGGGAGGGGCTGGGGGAGTGGGGGGCTATGAGAGAGAGGGAGGGGGTGGGAGAGGGGGGCTAGGAGAGAAAGAGGGGATGGGGTGCTAGAAGAGAGAGGGGGGCTGGGGGAGTGGGGGGCTATGAGAGAGAGGGAGGGGGTGGGGGAGTGGGGGGCTAGGAGAGAGAGGGAGGGGCTGGGGGAGTGGGGGGCTAGGAGAGAGAGGGAGGGGCTGGGGGAGTGGGGGGCTATGAGAGAGAGGGAGGGGCTGGGGAAGAGGGGGGGCTAGGAGAGAGAGAGGGGGATGGGGTGCTAGGAGAGAGAGGGAGGGGCTGGGGGAGTTGGGGGCTAGGAGAGAGAGGGAGGGGGTGGGGGAGTGGGGGGCTAGGAGAGAAGGGAGGGGCTGGGGGAGTGGGGGGCTATGAGAGAGAGGGAGGGGCTGGGGAAGAGGGGGGGCTAGGAGAGAGAGAGGGGATGGGGTGCTAGGAGAGAGAGGGAGGGGCTGGGGGAGTGGGGGGCTAGGAGAGAGAGGGAGGGGCTGGGGGAGTGGGGGGCTAGGAGAGAGGGAGGGGCTGGGGGAGTGGGGGCTATGAGAGAGAGGGAGGGGCTGGGGGAGTGGGGGACTAGGAGAGAGAGGGAGGGGCTGGGGGAGTGGGGGGCTATGAGAGAGAGGGAGGGGGTGGGAGAGGGGGGGCTAGGAGAGAAAGAGGGGATGGGGTGCTAGGAGAGAGAGGGGGCTGGGGGAGTGGGGGGCGTGTGAGGCCGTGTGTCTGGGACACGCGGGGCTCTCATCTCTGCATGATCCACCAGCACCATCTCCAGCAAGGGCAATAGACTAGAGCCAAGGAGTTGTTACTGCAACAAACCATTCGTTTTAAAGCTCTTTCATAAATGATGTGTTAAGGCCAAGGTATATGAAGCAGTGTTATTTAAGTTATGAATAAATAATTTTAACTAACTTGAAATTAATAAATAAAAACAACTGGAATATTAATAAACCAAAACATTTTGATCCAAAAATACTTAAAAATTGAAAAAGAAAATCACTGTGAACGTGGAAAGGAAAATTATAGTAAGAAACTGGACCCTGACTGAAACTTAAATAACACTGTTGTGGTGGTTGCTGTTGTTGCAGCTGCTGTGTCCCGAGTGGGTGACGGTGGCTCTGGGAATAGGACACGCGTCCGTTCATACTCACAATAGGCTGCCGGTCCATGCACAAGAAAGAGGCAGAGAGACATAAGCAGAGAAAAACAGAGACAAAATATAAAAAAAATAAAAACAAAAAGCATTGTTAATAGAAAGATTTGGCAAACATTCATCCTGTGCTTGTTACGGGCTTAAAATAAAACAGGTGGCAACATGCTACACGTGACAGAAGAGTAAATAAAGCTCAAGAGACTTAATATGCGATCATTAGTTCTATTTACAAAGTCGTGGGGAGGCAATTAAAACTGAGCTGTTAGGCATGGCACTAAGCATTAGAAGGTATATATTCATTTTTTGCCAAAGCCATGTCACTAACGAACGAGGTTTTGACGAGGCAAGCCAATGATAGACGTTGTTAAATGTTTGGCAGCATTGGTAGGCGACAGGCACTCATTTCAGGACACATTCACGAAGGGGAGGAGGAGGCCTTAACTCGGCCCTCTTTAAGTGGTGACAGAGCCAACGCCTTCGACCGTGTTACCCGTGACTGACCTAACGCTACCTTGACAGATTAAAACCAGAAAAGTAATCCCACACAATTGGAACTGAGAAAACTTAAACAAATAATACACAATTAAATTGGCAACGTAAAAGAGAAATTATAAATAAAGGGTAAATAAATGTAAACCTAAATAACACCGGTGTCGATGAAAGGGGTTCAAATGCGGCCTTTGAGCTGAGCTGGCTTGCTCACATTATGCCTGTACACGGTGCACGCACCGTGTGTAGGCATGCATGTGTGCGTGTGTGCGAAAGCGAGCGAGCCGGTGTGCGTACGTCTGTGGCGCGTGCTCCCTGCTCCTGCAGAGTCTTCTGCAGCTCTTCCAGCTGAGCCTGGAGCTCCAGGACGCGCTGGTTCAGCAGCCTGCACCGGCACACGCACCACCACCATGACGGCGTCAATGGTACAATGGTGATGATGATTGGGATGATGGGGTTGGTGGCGATGTTACTATTGATGGCTCGTTCATAATGGTGTCCACGTTAGCAGTGTTGACATTGGTGCTGATGGTAGCAGTGTTAGTGCTGATGATGGTGTTGATGGTGTTTGTCTCCATGTACGCTGCTCTGTGATAATTTTGATGGTGTTTTTGATGTTTGTATTTACGGTGGTGGCACTGATTCTGGTGCTGAAAACGACTGATGATGCTGGTGTTAGTAAAATGGTGATGCTGGTTTTATTGATATCCATGTAAATTTTGATGCAGGAAACAGTAACATGCATATATAATGGATGTCATCTTCATAACTAAACTATTTATATCCTGGGGTATATGGGGTGTGTCCGGTAGGGGTAGCACCTCTTAAGCGGGAATAGTCACACTCCGAGTGGTTCGCCATCTCTAGTGCCTACTGGTACCCAGCTCTCAGCTCTGGCTCCCAGGAGTTGCCCGCACGCGGCAGTGGCAATACCAGGTGAGGGTAGCCAACGGGTGTGGAACCCTTGGTGAGACAAGGAAACATTATTTGGGTCTTTCGGGAAAGCCACGTAGCAAACGTCATCAGGTGATGATTGCTTGTGTTGTGATTGAAACGTCGTGATATTTTTATTATTTTTTCTATCTACGTGGCTTTACCTAAAGACCCAAAGAATATGAATTCCTGCAGTCACGAAAGCTTGAAGTCAAGATTTGAGAAGAGGAAATGCGAAGACTTTTCCCAGTGGAGTGGGTGGAAGAGATCACCATACTGTTTCAATGGCCATGGAGGCAGCTAGAGCAGAGTGTTATGGGGCCCTCAGAGCGATGGCAAGGCACTGAAGAACCCTCTAGTCATCCACTGCAACCGGCCTCGTCTCCAGTCATCTTGACTTCGTCTTGCCAATGGACTTTGATGGGCCAAGACGAGAGAGTGAGGCTGACGTTGGGCAACTCTCCCTCACTCTAATCCAAGTCACGAGCAATTCATAACATCACCCACCAACTATACAAATCATTCTTCACATGCTCTGGCGATGGGATAGTGACGAAGCAGGTGTGGATACACTGGGAGCTGTGGCCAAAGACCTGCGCACATGCGGCTCAGGCCACAGGGTCATCTATCACTGGACAGAAGCAGCAATGGGACTAGGCAACCCCCGAGAGATTGAGCAGCCCTGTTCAGGATCACGCTGATCACCTCCCGAGTATGACGAAGGGGCTGGAAAAGGTGCGCTAAACATTGTCTGCTTCATCCACCCTGGCCAGAATACTATGTGGCTGGAGGGGATCCCACTTCACTTCTGCGGTCGACCCCTCAAAGAAATAAAGGTGACACCGCTCACCATTGGTACATGGAATGTGCGAATACTCTTGGACAACACCAGGTCAGACAGACCAGAGAGAAGAACAGCCTTGGTCGACAGCTTGTCAGGTACAACATCCACATGGCAGCTCTATGTTAGACTTAATCAGCAGGGGAGGGGCAGCTTTCTGAGCTTGGAGCCAGCAGCAACTTTTATTGCAGTGGTCGTGGCAGCGAGACTCAGGAGTTTGGTTTGCAATCAAGTCCGATCTCATCAACAAACTTGTGAGTCTGCCAATGATCACCTCTTGACCGTGAAACTCCCGTTTTAGGAAAATCAGAAAACCACCATTGTCAGTGCTTATGCACATTTAGAGTTCAATGACATATTTTATGAAGAGCTGGAATTAGCGATTACTGCTGTGTCAAAGACAGACAAACGGATCATGCTTGGTGACATTAATGCTTGATCATCAGACATGGTTGGGAGTCATCGGAATAAACGGAATTGGCAAATGCATAGTAACGGCCATCTCTATGAAAGACAACAGTTCCCGTTCTGTTGTAATGTGCACTGATGCCTACTTTATTGAGGGCGATATTGGCACATTAAATAAAGATTGACTGATGGAATGAAAACTGCTGAGCCTGACCTTCTCATCACCAACACTGTCTTCCACCTGCCAAATTGCTATAATAAATCCTGGATGCACCCCTGCTCCTAGCAGTGGTGCCTAATTGCCTACGTGATTACAAGGAGAAAGGACAGGCAGGATGTTCGAGTTACTAAGGCCATGTGTGATGCAGACTGCTAGATCGCCCACAGACTGATTGTCTCCATGCTCAACTTCCACATTTAGCCCAAGAGACGCTCTCAGGGAAAACGGGCTCCCAAGCGGCTTAACATCTCCAGGTTTACAAGAGAGCCCGTCAGGCAGATCTTCTGTGGGAAGTGGGCCGTCCAACTGTTGCAGATAACACCGTTCTTTTCTCTAAACATCAGATTGTATCCTTCCAAGCACGATGCTATTGATGTGATTGACATCAATAGTGATTATTGTTGATGTTTTTAATGACGTTGATGTTGTTATTGATGTTATTCATGCTGTTGATGTCGTGTTTGGTTTTGTTTATGTTTTTATTGATGTTATAGATGTTGGTGTCCACGTCGTTGTTCGTGATATTGATGTTGTTTTTATGTTGATGCCATTGATTTTGTTGATGTTGATTTTGATGTTATTGATGTTGTTAATGATGTTGGTGATGTTGTCAATGTTGGTATCTTCGAAGTTTGTAATGTAAGAATTGTTGTTTTGATGTTGTTTGCGAAGTTGTTGTCGATCCCGTTGTTGTTTGTTGTAGCTGCTGCGGCTCACCGGTTGTCGGTCTGCAGCACGCTCTGAGTGCGCGAGCTCTCGTCCAGCTCGACGCGCAGCGTGAGCACACGCTCGCTGTCCGCACCTTCGCTCTGCAAGCGCAGCACGCGGTTCTCGTGGCTCAGCCGGATCAAGCGCTCCCTGCACCGCACGAATCACACACGCAAACAAACCACGCATCCCACACACACACCATGCATCACGCACACCATACACCACGAGCATCACACCGCACGCATCACGCCACGAGAATCACAACAACCGCCATACGCCACTAAGTAGTGGTGACATCGCCACGACGCTTGTGCCAGGCTAGGTGCACCTTGAGACCCAGGTGCTCCCTACTGTGTCAACTTGCTGTATTTTAGCTGCCCGGCGTTTCACTCGTTGTTGTGAGTGTAGTTTCTCTACCCTCCATTGTTGCTGGAGGGCGACTGCCTCCAATTGTCCAGTAGCATCCTTCACGAGCCTCCTCCACAGAGGCCGATCTTGACACCGCTGGTACCAGTCATCGGCAAGTCCACTTAGCTCCACATCCTCTTGTGCCACATAACTCCATCTCTTCCCTATCAGTGCCGTGCCTATTTAGCCCCCTCTATCCGGCCGAACAAACGTGAATAACTAGACAATTATCACAACACATGAATCACACCTCACGCATCACACCGTACATCACGCTGCGAGCATCACATGTATCACACACCCCACGAATCACATCCCACGCCACACACCAAGCGAATCACACCACAAATCACCCCACGCGCATCACACAATTCAACACTACGCGCATCATATCAGGTGCATCACACCACACGATTTAAACCAGGCATATCACACGACAAGTATCACATCACAAGCATCAGACCAGACACCATGCCTCACACGACACACCGCACATCATGCATCACACTACAAAACAGACACACCGCGCACACACATGATAAGACTGTAAGAGCAGGCCTTGGGAGTCAGGTTGGAACTGTGCAACAGCTGCAAGCTTTGGCAAAGGTAGTGAAAGCAAAACTGTCAAGGGCTGTCAACATGTTCTTGACACCTCCACACTCGTCAAAGTCAAAGCGATTTCCTGCTCAAATGAGCATTGAAGCAGGGATCATCTTCTATTTACAGCCCTGAGCCACTGGGAAAAATTACATAATCCTATGGTAGGGATCTCTTCTGTGAACAACCGCCATTGACTACCCCACCAAATGGTCATCGTTTTACCTCCCCCCCCCCCCCCCCCCCGAAGTGAGGATCGGTTGAGTCAACCCCCAAACCAGGATTTAAACTCGCACCATTTGGATTGCGAGCCGCTCGCTCTGTCCCTGCCAAGCTAGTGGTTGCAGTTCGTGGCGTAAGGCGTGACAACGTTGGGGGGCGATAGCAACGTTGTTTAATTCCTGTGTGTTGTTGATTGGGCTGGCGGAAGGAGACGACCATATTGTTTGCACAACCGCAGACACACACACAAACCTGAACTCTGCAGGGACCATCTCTGCCTCTAGAGCCTCCAGTGAGACTTGGCTCCCATGGAGAATTCCACTGCCCTCTGTCAAAAGAGCAGAGGAAATGCAAATCAGTCGACTGCAACGGAGTTCTGTTAAAACACGGTAGCAGGAAGCCCACGATGCTGCGGGCAGCCACTACCTCCATTCTCTCTACCTTTCTACCCCATCCCCCCACACCCAACCCTCTCCGCCCCCCTAAGCTACGTTTACTTCGTGACCTCCTGATTCCTGCACACATTACGAATCCCACTGCTCTGTCACTTCCATCATCATTGTCTCCGTGATATAACATATTGCTATGAGGTAATTGCATCAAGTTATCTCTTGTTCTGATCACCTGAGTCCAACTCTGTCCTAATTTACTCCTCCCAGTATTGTCTCCAGTTGAGCAAGGATTGATTCGCCAGAGTTCGTGTGTTGCACCTAGCAAGGGTCAATCCAGAAGGTGTCCAGTTCCTGCCCAGTGATCCCTGTGATACCTGTTTATACACCCAGTGATCCCCATTACCACCCAGTGATACCCATTACCACCCAGTGATCCCCATTACCACCCAGTGATCCCCATTACCACCCAGTGATCCCCATTACCACCCAGTGATTCCTGTTCCTGGCCATTGATTCCTGTCCCTACTAAGTGATTATTGTTTGCATTCAGTGATCCCTGTTTGCACCCAGCGATTCCTTTTCCTACTCAGTTTCCAGAGCTAATGGAGAACGGGGGGCCATGGTATGGGTGCATCAGTCATGCCGGGGGGGGGGGGCAGCTGTTGTTTGACCATACTTCACCAAGATTGTCAGTGGGGGTAGGTGAAGGGGGCATATATTTGTCTCACCTCTCGCCGACTGTCTGACTCCACCACCTCCCCCCCCCCAGTGTTGCACCACGCTCCTCCCTTCCTGTTAACTGCTGTCCCCCATGCTACGTGTCAGCTCACATCCCCCCGAGCAAACATTCAGATCTTAGTAAAGAGTGGGTAAGTGTTCACCAATACTGACACAGATTCTGCAGGGTTTAGGTAAAAGGTCAAATTCAGCAGAAAAGTTTGGACAGGGAAATCCACTATCACCAAACAACATCGTCACATACTTGGAAAGAGTGATGGATGCCATTCAGGACAATGGCACAGTAATATCTGTGCAAGGAGAAAGAATAAAAAAGTCGAGATTCGCGTACGATATAGATCTGATGGAAGATAGCTGCGTAGTACTGCAGGAAAGTGTTCATGCGCTGAATAAAGCAGAAAAGGATGCAGGACTGAGGATTAATGTGGAAAAGACAAAAACTATGGTGTTCGGAAGGGAGGACATTGAGAAAGAAGTAATAATATAAAGTTGAAATATTCTTGGTTCTTTTGGTGAAGTCACGTAGAAGGGAAATAATAAAATAATACAAATAAAACATTCAATTCTCACAACGTTTCGGCCACAACGCAAGCAGCCATCCTCAGGTGAAGTAATAAAAGGGAATAATTTTTTTTTTATAATTCTAAAGAACTGCAAATATAAAAAATTCCCCTTCCTTTATTACTGCTAATCCTACATAGTACACTAGCATAATATGACTTTGAGACCCCCCCACCGCCTACACATTCCACAAGGAGTGACTAACCCCATATCTGCATTTGTCATCAACATGCTAAATTCCTATGTTGATATGTAAACTCCTTTGTCAAGGCGCTCTGCTCCTCCCACCCAGCGTAAAATGCGCTGCCAAGCTTAGCAGTGTTCATTAGGCAGATTGTATAATAATAAATAGTATAGTAGTGTAATGTTTAATATAATGTATAAGGTAATATATAGTATCGTAATTGGTTAGTGAATATACAGCAGTGTGGTATACAGTAGGGTTTGTAGAATAATACATAGTGTAATATTACAATGTATAGTCTAAGGTATAGGGTAGTGTATAGTAACGCAGTGTATAATTCAATGTTGGGGTTTGTCTATGGCAGTGTATAGTACGGTGTATAGTCGCGTGATGTAGAAAAGAGTTTAGTTGGAGGCATATGAATATAATGCATAATGTTAGAGCTTATATTGGTGCTGTGTATACGATATTATACAGTGTAGTTCAGATTGGAAGACATAATAAGTCATTATATAGTGTAATGTATACCCAGTTACTTAATGTTAATAGCTCAGCTTATTGGAGAATATATTGAGTACATTGATTATATTGATGTAACTTAAATGTAGTATTTCACATCGGTTTATTGCATGGTAGTAGGATATTAGCTTAGCAGTTTTCATTAGGACGCTGTCTTTCCGACCTGAGGATGGCTGCTTGTGTTGTGGCCGAAACGTCGTGAGAATTTTATTATGTTTTATTTTATATTTTTATTATTTTCCTTCTACGTGACTTTACCGAAAGAACCAAGAATATGAATCCCTGCAGTGAAGAAAACTTTACAGCGAAAAATTAAGTTGAAAGATTGTGAATGTAAAAGAATTTGTATACTTGGGAAGTCGAATGACATGGGATAACTACTGCACGAAAGACATAAGACCAAGGATCGCAAAAGCAAAATGAGTAATGACAGGATTCAATAACATGTGGAGAAGCAAGAAAATCAGCTACAAGACCAAACTGAACATCTTGAGAACATGCGTGTTCAATACAGCTTTGTATGCCTGCAAGACTTGGACATTGAAAAAGACTGACAGAGATAACATATTGGCTCTAAGGAGGATACGGCATCTAAACTGGACCCAAAGAGTGACCAGTGTATACATAAGAAAAAGGTTGCACACAGAAGAAGACCTGATAATGCAGGCAGTGATGAGAAGGAAACTGGCGGCACTATTTGGACACACACGTAGGATGGGCAACAACAGGAACATTTTGTGTTGTTCAGAAAAATGGCAGGAACCGGAAAGAAAGGACGATCTAACAGAGAACGGCTTGATGAGAACATCAGAGATTGATGCTAGAAAGATGTGGCACTACTTGAGAATATTGACACGAGACAGAGGAAAGTGGAAACAAAAGACGAAATATGCAGTAGACACCTACAGGCTATTTGCCCATGGATCGTGATGATGTAGTGTTCACACAGGAGTCCTGCTCGGAGAACGAGTGGGGGGCTAGATTTGCCTGTACATGGTACCGTGTTGTGCACTGTGACCTCACCCAGCTGACTCTGCTGGATCTGCGTGCAGCATAGCTCCTCGTTGGTCTCCCTCAGTGCATCTCTTTCAGCCACCGCTCTCTATGATGGGGGGGGAGTAACACAACCACACCGAAGGGAGAACATCACAGAAACAAAGCTCCGGCCTTCTGTTACCACCTTACAGAGGCACATATATCACAGAGTGCGGTAACAAGGGTGGCAGCGTAGCGGTAACACTCGCCCCTCACAGCAATATGAGCCTGGGCTCAATTCCCGACTCGGGTGCCTTTTTGCATGCAGTATGTATGTTCTCCTCCTTGTTGTTCATGGATATTCTTTGAGATTTCCATTTTTTATCATTGCTAAGCTCACACACAATATAACTGGTATTGGTCAATCAATGGTGAAGAATTACCAGCAAATTACTCAATTGAGATTATGCAAAGCAGCAACATCGCCCCCTTTTGCGAAAACCTGGCTGGACCCTCCTGACAAAGTCTTCACTCAGTGAGGCTTCCCTGGGTAAACAAGTGTAGCAATAGCCATAATAAACACCCGATACACCTCAATTACAAACGCCAGGCTGCAGATATTCCTACACCGATTCCCTCGCTTTCACTGCCCTCACCAAAACCCACAGCGGAGCAGCCGTGCAGCTGGTGTTAGCATCGTCTCCGTGGGCTCTCGCCTGGCCAATAGATTTATAACACCTCACGCAATTACTGCCGATCCCCCCCATGACCGACTTACCTACCGCACTGCCACCGATCTCGTCTGATCGCACAAATTAAGCAACTTTGAGCTCCGAAGGTGCTCAGACGGATGACCGCCAACGCCGTGCGTGCTACGTTGTCACAGATGTCAGCGGGGCTGCACTGCGTCAGCAGAGGGCAGTGCAGCAAAATCCATTGCCGTACTGAACTTATACGCTCTCACGTCTGCAACGGCCCATCGTGACAGCATTTGGTGTTGATGTGTCTGGTCTGGAGTCTAATAGGGAGTCTAATGTGAGTGATCACTGGACATAAAACTGCTTCTAAAGCCAGGGTGTTGCCCACGAGGTCAGTTGACCTCTAAATTGTCCATTGTTCAATCTTTGACGGTGCCCTTCATAAGGCAGCATCTGCCACCTTTGTGCCATTGTTTATCCAGACAACTTCCATCTCTCCTCCCAACTCCCAACTTTGCAGGGCCTCCAAACTCTGCGCAGCAACATCTCCCACATCCGCCTCCGCTGGCGCTACACTGCTGCTCTACAACTTCATCGCAACTCACCTCGATTACGCAAGCTCCTCTGTGACCTCCCAGAATCCCTCTCCAGAAAATTCCCAAGTAATTAGAATGTCACCTAGCTCTTAAATTGTACCCGCAATTGAGTTTGTGTCACCCCAATCACCACAATACCTCCACTGTCTCTGAATATAATGAAGCTAAACTAAACCAAAACTAGTTTTATTTCAGCAGGTAAGGCGCACTGAATTATATAGCTCTTTTTTAGAAGCGACCTAACTATCACAAATGATAGCCCAATGAAGTGGAAATTTATAGCAGCCAAATACTCTAAATGCATGTCTCTAAATTTGTAGGTAAATAAACTATTTAAAAATACTTTTTTTTTAAACACGCTTTAATGAAATGTACTGTCCGAGCTGCCCCTCCCCCTGCCCCCTTCCCCCATCGCCCCTCCCCTACTTCCACATCCCCCATCCCTCGGCGTGGCTCCCCGAGGCTTGCTGTAACGTAAGGGACCGTGGTGATTTACAGCCAACGTGAGTTGAGCGTGGACAATTATATTTTAAATTTTCAATGATAGAATTTAATATTGTCATCAGTATGACATACCTATACCAAGTTTGCAGTCGATACGACATTGGGAATACGGTTGAAATTGAGTTACAAGATTTTAGGATACGACAACACACAGAGTAAGTTAAATAAATAGTGTGTAAAATCAGGAGGATTCAGAGAAAAATCCACACGACCAAGGGAAGAACACGCAAACTCCAATTATATAGGAGTCAGGGTCGGAATGGGACCTATGACCTCTTGTATACCAGACGAGGTCGTTAACATCTCGCCACCACTGCTCTGTGATTCTAAGATTCTATTCAGTTTTACCTCCATCATTCCTTTTTAACACAGCTTGCTTTCTTTCCTCTCTCTCTCTATTGCCATGCTCTCGTACTCCTACCCATTGCTACTACACCAACCAAGGACCCCGAGTTAAGGCCTCAGTAAAACCGGTTCAGTCAGTGGTACTCTTCTCTGCTGCCCGCACCGATGGAACTCCCCGCCCCATCCCCAGGGTGATTCACCAAGTGGACTCCCTACCCCTCTTTTAAATCCGGGATGCAGGCCAAGTGTTCTAACCATTACAGCAGACAGCATTCCCAGCAGTGGCAAGTGCCTGCTAGCACCACGAGACCCTGCTGAATGTGAATGTCACTCACCTCGTGCAAGCACGTGGGAAGGGTGAGATGCTTAAGAGTCGATGGAGAGAAAAACGTTATCCAATAGATTGTCAGCGCTCGTATTGGAAGAAGGCTAGAGCAGATTATGTCAAACTCTATCGAGGTCTACTCCAGGTAACTGCATTGAAAGGCTGGAATGTCTGATTCCTCCAAAAGGGCACACAGTGTGTGTGGTGGAAAATAATTTAGGCAGAGTAGATTAAAAAACATCCACCTTGAAGTGTGCAGTGTCAATACAACCCAGTTGTGCAAGTTAATAAAACAAAATGATTAGCTGCTGTTTGTGAATCCACTGCTGGACAGCTTGGGGAAGTATGCTCAAACACCGTGAAGGCATGGAAGGAGGAGGGGCCTCCAGTTGTTTGTACTTTACTCGCAGACCAAACAACCGCCACCTTTGCAAAATCTGCCGTTTAAATCCCTCAGAGCCCACACAGACAGATGGCTTGTACCTTGGCGAGCTCCCGCAAGGCTTGCCCTTAAATGTCTGGCACCCAATGACATCTAGACTATCTCGTAAGTGACGGTGACGGTGTTGATGGGAGGCAGTGGTGGTGGGTGGTGCGATGGTGTCACCTCTTTCTCCTTGGTGAGCGCGTCGCTTCGCTCCTGCAGCCGCTTGTGCTCAAACTCGAGTCGATCGGCGCGGCGGCTCTCCTCGGAAAGCCGCGCATGCAGCTCCTGCACCTGCACCCGGCAACAACATTACCATCATCACCACCACCACCACCACGGACATCATTAAATACAAATATCTCACATGTAGCCTTGACAGGCTTTTGGGACAAGTGCTGTTAGTGAGCACCTATGAAGGGCGGCACGGAACACAGTGGGGTGGGTGGCCAGCACCACGCCCGACTGCCTTGGCGTCTCCACTGGTGATGTTTACACACCGCAGCCTAGGGGAGGCCCAGGACCAATTCAGATAATCGTCACTAGTGGGGGCTGTAAGTGGAAAATGACTAGGATCACTGGCTTCGAAACAAAGCTTCGGCCTTCTGTTACCACCTTACAGAGGCACATATATCACAGAGTGCGGTAACAAGGGTGGCAGCGTAGCGGTAACACTCGCCCCTCACAGCAATATGAGCCTGGGCTCAATTCCCGACTCGGGTGCCTTTTTGCATGCAGTATGTATGTTCTCCTCCTTGTTGTTCATGGATATTCTTTGAGATTTCCATTTTTTATCATTGCTAAGCTCACACACAATATAACTGGTATTGGTCAATCAATGGTGAAGAATTACCAGCAAATTACTCAATTGAGATTATGCAAAGCAGCAACATCGCCCCCTTTTGCGAAAACCTGGCTGGACCCTCCTGACAAAGTCTTCACTCAGTGAGGCTTCCCTGCGTAAACAAGTGTAGTAATAGCCATAAAGATCCCTTCAAGTTCCTTTAAAGTCTCTTCACGAAGGAAAAAAGTGGAGTTCTAAAAACAACAAAGAAAGACCTAGAAGAGCACCTGAGAACAACAAACTTTGACTCAAAGCGACATGAACATCTGGCCATCCCATCAGATATCCCACCCATTGAACCCCCGAAACATCATATTGAGACCAGCCCTCCGACATGGAAAGAGGTGGAAAACACAGTTCGAAGGGCAAGAACAGCATCAGCCCCGGGGCCAAATGGAGTCCCGTACAAAGTGTATAAGAACGCACCAGACGTCCTGAGGTTCCTCTGGAGGCTTATGAGAACAGCTTGGCAAAAGAAGATAATACCCAAAGTGTGGCGTAGGGCAGGCGGGGTCCTGATCCCTAAGGAGAAGGATGCAGTGAACATCAGCCAATTCCGCCCAATCTCCTTACTGAATGTCGAGGGTAAAATCTTCTTTAGGGTCATTGCCCAGAGGATGGCCGAGTACCTGCAAAGGAATGCGTACGTCGATACATCTGTACAGAAGGCAGGAATATCAGGGTTCTCTGGCTGCTTGGAACATTCCAGCATGATCTGGCACCAGATCCAAATGGCCAAGGTGGAGAAAAGGGACCTCCATGTAGTCTTCCTCGACCTCGCCAATGCATTTGGCTCTGTGCCCCATGAACTCCTGTGGTCTGCCTTCAGATTTTTCCACATACCGGACACCATCACAACCCTGGTGAAGTCGTACTTTCAGGATCTGCAGTTCTGCTTCACCACCTCAGAGTTCACCACCTCATGGCAATGCCTAAATGTAGGTATAATGGCGGGATGTACCATTTCTCTATTGGCATTCATAATGGCAATGGAGGTTATCATCAGATCCTCAAAATGGGTTGCTGGTGGACAGCGAGTCGACTCTGGTTTTCGCCTCCCTCCACTACATGGACGACATTACAACATTGACCACCACTGTCCCATGCACCAGGAGACTGCTCAGAAAACTCGAGGAGAACATCAGCTGGGCCCATATGAAGATTAAACCATCCAAGTCATGCAGCATCTCGATTGTGAAGGGAGTACTCTGTGACCTGAAATTCTTCATCGGAGATGACCAAATCCCAACAGTGTCTGAGCAGCCGGTAAAAAGCCTTGGAAGGTGGTATGATGCAAGCCTGAAGGACAAAGACCAGGTGCAACAGCTGCGCAAAGACATCAGTAGTAGCCTACAGTCCATCGACAACACCCAGCTACCTGGAAAGTTAAAGGCCTGGTGTCTGCAGTTTGGTCTCCTACCCCGGGTGTTGTGGCCCCTAGCAGTGTATGAGGTTCCAATCTCAACAGTGGAGAAGATGGAAAGAGGAGTCACGAGCTACTTAAAGAAGTGGCTCGGAGTTCCACGATGCCTTACCACCATAGGCCTCTATGGAGATGGTGTCCTCAAGCTGCCCCTCACCAGTCTAACAGAGGAATTCAAGTGTGCAAAAACCAGGCTCCAGATGACACTGAATGAATCTCGAGACCCAGTGGTGAGCAACAACGCGCCGACCTTGGCAACTGGGCGCAAATGGAGGCCAGGAAAAGCAGTCCAGGAGGCAACAGCAGCCCTCAGACATGCTGACATTGTGGGTCATGTTCAGCAAGGGAGAGGAGGCCTTGGGCTAACTAGCCGTGCTGCTTGGAGTAAGGCCACTGCACCAGAGCGGCGGAAGATGGTAGTGCAGGAAGTACGCCATCAGAAGGAGGCTGCAAGGTGGGCCAAGGCAGTCTCTCTTGCCAAACAGGGACAGTGGACTCGATGGGACAGTGTGGAGAAGAGGAAGATCAGCTGGAAGGATCTGTGGGCCATGGAAGCGAGGCGGTTGAGCTTTTCCATCAGAGCAACATATGACGTCCTTCCAACACCAGTTAATCTTCACCAATGGTATGGTGAAGATCCGGACTGTGCCCTCTGTTCCATGCCAGCCAACCTCAGGCACATTCTCACAGGGTGTAAAACAAGCCTCACCCAAGGACGCTACACTTGGCGTCACAACCAAGTCCTTAAAAACCTTGCGTCCGCCCTGGAGGACAAGCGAGCTGCCACCAACTCCCTACCACCCCCAGCAGCATCACACCCCTTACGGACGACCTTTGTCCGCGAAGGGGCTAAACCACCGAAGAGCGGCTCTACACCATTAGAGCGAGACCAGCTGCGCTTGGCCCGCGACTGGAAAATGCTAGCTGACATTGGCCGGCAACTTGTGTTTCCTCCGGAGATCGCAACCACCACCCTAAGATCTGACATGGTGCTCTGGTCCAGTTCGCTCAAGAAGGTCTTCATCATTGAGCTCACAGTACCCTGGGAGGACTCAGTAGATGAGGCTTATGAGCGAAAACATCTGCGCTATGCCGATCTAGCTGCCGAAGCACGGCATCATGGCTGGAACACAGAAGTCCGACCAGTGGAGGTGGGCTGCCAGACTGCTTAGAGACCTGGGAATTATGGGCCAGAGCCAGCGTTCGGCAATCAGAGCTGTATCGGAGGCGGCAGAAGGCAGCAGTCAGTGGCTCTGGATGAAGAGGAAAGACCCCAGCTGGGCCCCAAAGTGAGAGGGCCAGGAGGTATGCAGTCAACAATGCTTGACTCAGGGAGGAGGACGCCCCTGCCATGCATAGTCCCAACAAGGCAACTCCTATGACTAATTGGGAATGGGACGCAAGCGTAGGATTGATCACCCTGTCGCTGGCCGCCTTTGGGGAGGGTGTATAGTATGAAAGGCCGAAACACCCTAGGAACCAAAGGTTCACTACTGACGATGCGCTCCCCAAATTTCACCAGGCTCACTGTTCATGAACTCTTGGAAGTGCTTGCACAAAGGATAGTACCATCTCATCCTGTGTTTTTTGGAATCCGATACACCTCAATTACAAACGCCAGGCTGCAGATATTCCTACACCGATTCCCTCGCTTTCACTGCCCTCACCAAAACCCACAGCGGAGCAGCCGTGCAGCTGGTGTTAGCATCGTCTCCGTGGGCTCTCGCCTGGCCAATAAATTTATAACACCTCACGCAATTACTGCCGATCCCCCCCATGACCGACTTACCTACCGCACTGCCACCGATCTCGTCTGATCGCACAAATGAAGCAACTTTGAGCTCCGAAGGTGCTCAGACATTTAAGTGGGAAATTACTAGGATAACTGGCTTCGTAGCACAGTGCTCTCCCAAACCATCAACATCACCACCATTATCGATATCACCACGACCATCATATTATCAACACTGATTCAACCTCACAGTTATGACTGTCACGACTGGTGCAGTGACGCAGCCCAGCGGTGGCGCGTTCACCTCTTGTTGGAGAATTCAGCGGTCTCCCCCCCCCACCCCCCCCGATTAATACCGCTGATGATCTTGTGCCGTCCACTTCACAGTGGACAATAACAATGTCATGACGACATTTGTAGAAGAGGAAACGACTGCGTGCAGGCACCGTGGTCCGAGACGACGTTGCGGGCACCTGCTGCTTGTAGGCGTGCAGCTGCGCACGCGCCGCGTTGGCCCTGCGCAGCTCCTCCTCGAGCGCCAGCGTGTTGTGCAGCTGCTGCGAGCTGCGCTCCTCCAGCAGTCGCACCTGGCGCCGCACATCGCCCAGGTCGTCAAGCTTGCGCCGGTACGACTCAACAGCCGCCTCGAGCCTCGCCGCGCGGTCCGAAGAGTGCCTGCACACACACACACACACACGTACATGAATATGCACACACACACATATGCGCCCACGCACACACGTGCAAACAAAAACAAAGATCCCCCGTATAGCCTTAACAGACTGTTAGGGCAAGTGCTGTTAGCAAGCACCTATGAAAGCTGAAACGACACAGAATGGATTGGGTAGCCAGCACCAAGCCCGGCCACCTCTGTTTCCCTAGTGCTGATGTTTACACACTGCACCAGATACTCAGTTGAGTCTGAGTCGACCTAGGGGTTGCCCAGGACCGGTTCAGATAATCGTCATTGGTGTTGGCCGTGAGCAGAAATCGAACCCAGTTCGCCAGGTTCGTAGTGCAGCACGCTAACCGCTATACCACCGCTGCCCACTACAACACAAACAACAACCGTCATTCGCCACTAAGTGGTGGTGACGTCACCACGATGCTTGTGCCAGGCTATGTGCACTTTGAGGCCACGTGAAGTGTCGAACGCCCACTGGCAGGAGGTCACCGGGCAGACCCAGATGCCACAGGTCGACTAACTGAAACGACTGGCTGATGCACCACCTGTGCCCCCTACTGTGCCAACTTGCTGTGCTCTAGCCATCCAGCACTCCGCTCATTGTTGAGCGTCGCTCCTCCGCCCTCCGTTGTTGTTGGAGGGCGACGCCTCCAACTGCCCAGTAGCGTCCTTCATGAGCCTCCTCCACAGAGGCCGATCTTGATACTGCTGGTACCAGTCATCGGCAAGTCCACCGAGCTCCACATCCTCACATACATCACTCCATCTCTTCTCTAGCCTGTGCCACGCCGGTTTAGCCCCCTCGATTTGGCCGAACAAAAACTGTTTAAGCATGCGGTGGCTGGGAATGCGGGCTACATGACCAAGCCAATGCAACCTTGCCTGCCGGAGGAACTCACCGATGGGATGTTGTCCAGATCTTTCAAGGATTTGTGAGCTCCTCACACAATCCAGCCTGGTTAAACCCAGGATGGATCGTAGGCAGGCCAGCCTAAATGTTTCTAACCTGGCGAAGATGTTTCATGAGGGGGGGTCCACGTTTTGCAAGCGTAGAGAAGGGAGGGAATGACTGTGGCCGAGAAGACCTGAAGCTTCGTGCGGAGCGACAGACCAGGTAGCTTCCACACAGCGTTATGCAACCGATGAAAAGATAATGCTGCTCGATTGATTTTGAGTGAGACCTCTGCTGTTAAACCGGAGCCGGTCATGAGCACACTGCCCAGGTATGGGAAACTTTCCACAACTGCCCTATCACCAATTGGGAGAGTTGTGGGGGTGGAGTGTCTGATGGTACAAAATACCCAGCCAGATGCTTAGTTTTGGTGGGGATGATAGTGGAAAGCTCCAAGTTCATCAGCAGTGCCTCCACTCCTCTGAGAGAGCAGCAATTACCAGATCATCGGCATACATAACATGGTTGAGCAATAGGGAGCCATCCCTTGACCGCACCCAGGCATCGATCAGCCTCCCATTGTATCTGTACCTGATAGAAATTCCTCCGGTACAGCTATTGAAGGCTTCACGAACTACGTGGTCGAAATAGATGTGAATGTGGGAGCCAGAGGACATCTCTGTCGCACCCCAAGGTGTACAAAGAATGGCTCCGACTCCCAGCCACGTAGTTTTACCTGGGCACACTCACCATCATGAAGGTCCTTAATGATCGTGAGCAGAGGGTCAGGGACTCCAAAAGCACAAAGAACAACCCAGAGCCCAGGCCTACTGATGGTATCATAGGCCTTGACCAGGTCAATAAAGCAGAGCTGTAGGTCTTGTTGGAATTTCCTACACCTCTGCTGTAGCAGACGGACAGAAAATATGGCATCTGTGCAGGAAAGCCCTTTCCTGAAACCGCATTGGAGCTCCGCAAGCCTCTCGAGCATGCCTAGCAAGGCGATGTTGAATAATCCTTGCCAGGATCTTTTCCGGCATACTGAGGAATGAGATGCCCCTGTAGTTGTTAAAGTCTGTGCGGTCCCCCTTCTTAAAGAGGGGGACCACCAGGGCATCCTTCCAATCCTGCTGAACCTGTCCAGTGGTCCAGACTGTTGTTATGATGTCATTTAGGGCAGTCTGTGCAGAAACGCCACCCTCCCACAGCATTTCATCTCTGCCTGGTGCCTTTCCTGGTCTCATACACTGGATTGCCTTCAGTACTTCCTCAACAGATGGCGCCTCAGCCAGCCACTCACAGGGAGTGACTTCTTCTTCCAATATTTGAGGCACCGCAGCCTCGGCAGTGTCATCCTCACTTTGTCCCACGTTATTTTCCAGACTGAAGGATTTCCCTTCCCCCAGGACCTCGCAGAAATGCTCAGCAAATCTGCAAACCTGTTCCTGGGGGTCAGAGATTGGATCACCGTTCTTTCCCCTAATGATGGTAATAGGTGTGTCGCTGCAGGTTACTTTGATGGAATTAAAGAGCGATTTGTGATCACTGGTCATTGAGGTAGACTCCCTCTCCTCAGCAACTCGCGACCACCACCCATCCTTGCAGCGCCTCACTAGCTGAGACCATGCCACGAAGGGTTTCAATGGGGTCCTGAGAGTACACTCCAGACCAGGTACCAGTGTAGGGCTGTTACAGAGGGGCTGTTTGTGTAGGGCTGTTTGCATGGGAGCTAACGGATAACAAACACAGTGGGCGGGGACTCCGTGAGCACACGGGGTGGTGCCCGCAACGACGTCCGCACTGGACGGCGTGAGGGGGGTTTCGATCCTCTAGGGGGGTATAAAAAGGGATGAGCCAGAGAGCTCGGGGTTGAGTCTTAGAGTAGTTAAGGGAAGAAGGAAGACCGGCCAGATAGGCCCTGGACTCCCCCTGGGACGCCGCCCTTGTAAGGGCAGCGCAGGCTGGAGCCAGTGGCGTGGTCCCGGAACCAGAGTTAGTCCTCTGGGATTCCGGGTACCGTAGCCCGACTGACCAGTGTCGGGCCAGACAGCCTCCCCTAGCCCGTTAGTGGAGGACTCGGCTAGGAAGGCTAGTTAGAGGTGAATTCCCAGTTATACGGGTGAGGGGGCCGATACATCCCTCAGCGCTGTAAGACATTGTGTAAATAAATACGTGTGCCTTACTACGGTGTCCACGCGTCTTCAAGAGTACTTCATCTGGCGTCAGAAGAACTAAGAACATGGACACGCGCCAATCAGCTCGAGCCAAAGTACAGCAAATGGAAGACGCCGCCGAAATTGTCGAGCCCGAGATGGCTCAACAAGACAACGTGCAGCCGGGGCCGGACGCGTTCTTACCGGAGCGTCGGCATGAAGAGGAGCCGCGGACAGACGACCTGAGGCTGGCTCACGAGAGGCTGGCTGAACTGCTCTACGCCGCTGCCGCCACGCTAGAAAACATCACACGGCTGGGGGCTGGTGGTCCACCGCGGGGCGAGGGGAGCCGGCGTCCGGAGCGCCTTCCCGCCATTTCCGAAGATTCAAACTTCGAATTTCCCGCCATCGACGCGGCGACCGCTAGGGGCGTGGCCAACCTCAACCTGGGGTCCGACATCGGCCGCGCTGGGGCTGCCGCGTCAACGACGGAGGAGGGCGCGTCATCAAGGCTGCGACAGGCGATACCATCTGCCGTTCGCGCCGAGACACAGCCGAGTCGGGGAGACAGCAGCCCACGGGACTCCACGGCAGCCGCTGCGCTGCACCAAAGGCTGCCTCCGCTTAAAGAATTCGTGGGCGCAGAGGGCGACTGGGGCGGCTTCCAAAGACGCTTCCTCGCCCACCAAGAAATGGCCAAATGGACAGACGCTGAAGCTCTCAGCGCGCTGCCGGCGCTCCTCGACGGCGACGCGCTCGCCGCCCTCACATCGGCGCCGAAGGAGAAGCGCTCTACGCTGCCGATGGCGCTGCAGCTGCTGGCCGGAGTCTACGGGCCTTCCGCGGAGTGTAGGCAGCAGTTCTACGACCGCCAGCGGGGCGCGAAGGAGTCGCCGCTGGCTTACAGAACAAGCCTCCTGGCGTTGGCCAAGACAGCCTTTCCTCGCATGGACGAGGACGGGGTCGACGCCATGGTAACTGAGAAAATCCTCCTGCTAGCAGACGACCTGGACATCGCCGTCGTGGCACAGGAGGATACAGAGATGACTTCTCTACAAGCGGCGCGACTCCTCCACGCCAACTTGCTGTCGCAGCGGCGGAAGGCCAGCAGGGCAGCGGCTGGGCGTGCGGTGGCGGCAGCCACCCTCCCGGCGGAGGAGGTCTTCGCCGTCAACCACCGTCGGCAGCAGGGGACGGGAGCACGGCCGGGCCGGGATGGGTCGAGCCGCTTCGACCGTCCGTCATCGCCGCCGCCGCTTCCGCGCTGCTTCAACTGCGGCGTCCGGGGCCATGTCGCCTCGGGATGCCGCTCTCCCCGACAGCGTGGGACGACGCCTCGCCAGGACGCCGGGCCTCCTCCTCCTCCCAAGCTTCATCAGCATGATCCGGCGAGTCGCGACACCACACATGTTTGGCCAACACACACACCTGTCGCACACTCTCGCATCGCAACGAATGGGGGGACGACGTCGCATCGCGACGGGCCGGCGCGTACCACTGTGGGGACTCGAATTGAGCCCGGGCAGTGGTCCGCGTTGGCCCATCGCGTTGTGGCCGCATCGTCAGGGTCGTCGGCCGTCGTGGGACTTATTGACGGGGTTGAGGTACGCATCCTGGTTGACACGGGGGCATCGGCGACCATTATTTCCGAATTGATTTACAACATTTTGCCTGTCCAAAGCCGTCCCTTACTACCAGTTAATGTCCCATTCTATGCGGCGAATGGGGGCTCCCTGGGTATTATTGGACAAATTCGAGCGCAAATTTGTATCGGGGATATCAAATTATCAGGCCCGATTTTTGTTTCCTCCTCACTGGCGGTTCCGTGCCTGCTGGGGACGGACTTCTTGGGTAAAATGCCGATCCGTATTTTAATAGACCAGGGATGTATTGAGCTCCCGTCGGGACGGCGCATGGCGTTTTTACCCTCCCCTTCGGTGATTCG